CCTAAAGAGCCTGCCAGCACCCCCGGGGGAGGGGAAGGAGAAGGGCGGAAGGCACGCGGCAGAGCTGGATCGGCTCGGGGAGCCTTGCTCCTCTTTACTGCGGCGGAGCTCTGGCCTCCCACCCCTCCGGCCAGTCACTCAACCTCTCCGCGCCTGTTTGCTCCTCTGTAAATGGAAGATCCAAATTCCCACTTCAAGGGGCTGCAGCAATTAGTGAGATACATATTTGAAAAGTATCTGATACGCTCGGAATCGCGCTAGGTCTCCCGGAGCGGAGGCCAGAGGGCTAGAAAGCCCCCGACCTGCTCGCTGCAGGAGACAGGTGGAGAGGGATCAGGGGCTGCAGAGCCGAGTCCAGACTGCGGCAGACCCGCGGGCGCCCTCTCCAAGGGGCGACTGGGGCGCGGGAGGGGAAGCAGGCCAAATCACCTCAGCTACCGCTTCCCGCCCGCGGGCGTCTCCCGGCCCCAACAGAAGCTGCCCCGGCTCCTCACCTCCGACTCCCGCCGCTGGCTTCTGAACGCTTCCCGGCCCTTGGGCGACACCTGCTTCCCTTTGCCGCCGCCGTTGCCGTTGCCGTTGCCATTGGAGGGCTGGCTCCCGGACCCCGGTGCCACCGGGTCCTCCATGCGGCTAGGGTCAGCGGCTCCGCTCAGCTGCTCAGCGCTCTCTGCCCGAAGCGACCCCGCCGCCGCGCGCGCCGCCACCCGGCCCCGCCCCTCCACAGCTATTGGCTGCAGCCTCTTCCCGCAGCCCCGCCCCGCGGCGCAATTGGCTATTCGACCGCCTGGAGCGGGACTTGGAGGAGGTGGGGCTCATTCACGGGATTTTTTTCCCTTGTCTTTTTTTTTTTTCCTAGTCCTGCGGCGTTTCTGGTAGCAGTGGACTCCCGGTTTGGCTCCCAGCTCTACCTCCCGAATTCTGGGTCTTGAGCTCTTGAGTTCAAGGCGGTCATCTCTTTGCTTCTCCGTATCCCTCAGCACTCAGCGCCTCCCAAATAGCGACCTTTTCGGGGAGCTCTGTTCTTCGCCTTCAGCTCCACTGCAGACTGTTTCCCCATTGCCACAGACCTTTGCCCCCAAATCCCGGCTCCTGCACACATCCCAAATCCCGCTTCTGTCGCAGGTGATCCCGTCGGATGGCCAGGGATACCGCAGGAAATGAGGGACTCGCCCTCTCTGGAAGCTGAGATTTGTGAGGAGAACTCATCCGCTCGGAGTGAGGACTTAGCTGGGAAACGAGGGGTTAAGGAGTGGGGTGGGGCGTTTTCACCTCACTGAAATTGCTAGTGCCTCTCGGGGCTGCTCCCGCTCATCTGCCTTTCTCTCCTGAAGTGGGCACCTTCCTCACACTGTGATCTAGGGAGCTAAAAATGAATGGAGAGCAGGCGCCCCGCCCCTCCCTCACCCTCTTTTGCTTCATTCTTCTAAGATCTTTCCTGGGGCAAACAAGGCTGTATGGCTTGCCCACTCTGGAACTTACCTAAAAAGCAGCCAGTGTTCAGGCAGTCTGGGTTGGTCATAGTAGCCCCAAATAAGCAACCTGAAGGGAATGGGTGGGACCAAATGGGTGGGATTGTTGAACTGCCACTTTTTCCAGGCATTGCACCAGGCCCTTTCCAGGTATATCACACCTCTGTCTGACAGGTTGTTTTCACGAATCCAATATTATTGAGGAGGAAGGCAGGACGCACAGAGATTAATTACTCCTTGTAGTTCTCAAGGCATCATATTCTATCGTTTCAGTATCTTCAAATGTGCCGTTTTCTCTCTCTAGAGGAACTTGCTGTTCTTCTCTTGGCTAACGTCTGTTCTTCCTTAAATATTCTATTTAGTTATCACCTCCTCCTCCATAAAGCCTTTTGACCCTCCTCAACCCATTCAGGCAGTGTGGATGTCTAGCCAAGTCAGTCTGGATCCAAAATCCTTATATTTTCTACTATATCCCAAAGGAATTACCCCCCTTCTTATATTTTAGGATTAAGAAAGGAACAGAATTATCCCTATCTTTCCTTCACATTTTCCTCTGCTAGTTAGGAGGGGACAGGTCAAGGCAGAGTTGAGAGAGCGTGCACTCCTTGGAGTTTTCTGAGTTCCTTTCCCTTCCTGGTCCCCAACATCTCCTTATTGTACCCTCCCACTATTTTCCCTTTCCTTTCTAATTCCCACCTCCCACCCTCCACCTACAATCTGAATATAAGCTGGAGAGTACAGCCAAGTTTTATTCATTTTAGTATACCTCATTTATGTATGTTTAAGCACAAGGTTTCTGTACTACTGACTACAAAATTATTTGTTGTGGGAGCTGTCCCGTGCATTGTAGGATGTTTGACAGAATCCCTGGCTTCTCTTCACTAGATGCCAATAGTACCCTCCCCCCAGTGTGACAAACAAAAGTCTCCAGATATTGCAAAATGTCCCCAGAGGGGCAAAATCTTCTGGGGTTGAGACTCATTTGTTCAACAGTATTGAATTAATATGAATTTCCAAGAAAGTCCCTGGCTCAAGGCCTAAACTATTTGATTTTGGAATTCTTCTCAGGGTATAATTTGTTAAACTTTTTTTTTTTTTTTTATCCTCACCCGAGGACATTTCTCCATTTTTTGTTCAGATAGAGTGGGAGGGAGGGAGAGGAAGAGAAAGAGAGAGGGAGAGAAACATCGACGTGAAAGGGACACATCGAGGGCTGCCACCTGCATGACCAACCAGGGCCGGGGACAAACTGCAACTGACGTGCCCTTAGAGGGAACCAAACCCAGGTCTCTCTGGACCACAGGCTGACACTCTAACCGCTGAGCCAAACTGGCCAGGGCTAATTTGTTAAACTCTTAAAGACTCATACTCTGCTTTAAAATTCACAACCCATGCCTAGCTTGTCACTGCTTCAGTGTGGTAAACCTGCCACAGCACAGCCCATTAGGGTTTCTTAATAAAAGAATTAATTATTCTACATCCCCTCTTCCCAATACTTCTCCTCCTAAACAGAGCTCTAAGATTGACAAGCCCAGAACATCATGTTCTCTTTTGTGAGCCTGGTCAATCAGCAGGATCCCCAACAGTGGTGGTAGACAGGAGGGCCACTTTTGAGGCTTCTTTCCAGCCTATCCCTAGGGCAAAGGAAGCAGAGTGATCTTCTTGGAAAGTAGGATTGAGGACAGCTCTCAAATCCCCTCTGACCCCTATGGAAAGCTAAGTCTAGAGTTCTACCAGGCTTCACTTTCAGAGAAGGGGTTTGAAAATTGGTATGGAGTTTGCAAAGAATCAAAATGAGAAGAGACCTCAATCCATTATTTTTTCCACAATCAGTGGATCATTATAGGCCCAGGCTTTCAGAGTTATCACAAGGAGGAAGCTATCTGGAAACAACTCCTGGAAGAAGTAACAAGAAACCAAATTAACTGAAAACTTTGAAACTGTAAATTATGGAATTGGCACACACTTTCTTTTAGTTTGTCAACAAAGAAGTGACAGCTATCAATACCATTAACTACAAAGGTGCCCATAAATATACCTGGGAGATAACTAGGGGCTGTTCTATACAATTTTCCATCTTGCAGAGATGGCACCCATGCTGAGTTATTTTTAAACCTCCACTACCGCTTTTCCTTGGCCCAAATTTCAGGTTTCCTGGGGCTGCTGCTAGAGGGCTAGAGGGCTATATTACAAGGACCAAACATATGCCTTTCCCCATATAAGCACTCCACCTTAATCCATGGAGGTCAGATATGTGATTAAACAGATAACACTGAGAGTTTAAAAATAAGATGCAGGAAGTCTTACAATACCTAATTTTTGAGGATATCTGGCAGCCAAGGTAAAGTAGTAGAAAAAAAGAACACCCTCCCCTCCCCATCAAAGTCATGTGTGGGTGTAATGAGAAAACATCTTGCATTCAGAATGTAGAACTAGTTTAGGTTACCAACTAAAGAAGCTGGTTATCAGAAAGCTGCTTAAAAATGGCTACTCTACTGGTAGTTGAGAAAGAACAGAAAGTTGGACTCATCCTCTGGTTACTGATTTAGTCAGGGAAAACCTGACTCAGAGACAAATCTCTGCCAGATTAATTTCTTCCCTTTGGCTGGATGTTCTCAGGTGCTGGATGTCAGGGTCCTTTCGTCCCAAACCGTGGGATGCTAACTTCTGTGCTCTCCAGCTAAGAGTAGCACACAAGGGGTTTGGGGAACCTAGAATGAGGCTTTATTTTCTCTGCCTTAAGCCAACACGTCTCAACTCCCCAGGGTGGTGGTTCTGAGAAAGCAGTATATTTATACATGTAATGGAGGTGGGGGGATATTACTTAGTGGAATGACCCACCATGGAATAGGGACTCAAACCTAAGGCAATTCAACACATCTATTGGTAACTCGCTTCAGTTTTTTACATCCTTTCCCTACAGCAGGCTCTTTAGCCTGTTCTCAGAAACCTCCCTTATCTCTGAATTAGAAGCAAGGAATACTCTCAAGACAGGGATCCATTTTAAGAATATTTTATTTATCTTTTGAGATTACATGTTTATTATTGCTGATCTAATACAATCACTTAGACATAAAGATTTCCAAGAGCCTCTTCAGAAATGGTGATCCTTAGAAGTTTTAGATGACAACGAGAACTAGATGATTATTTTTATATATATGTATGTATATATAGTTTAGAACTTGTCCACATATATTTTGCTGGTGTTGCCTATTTTCTTTCTATAATTTTCCTTTATTATAAAAAGCTTAATGCAACAATGCGTTCTGATTTCTTTTTGAAAACCATGACAAAGTTAATTTTGGGAAAACCATAGGAGCAGCAATTTCAGATCTGTTCAGAGAAAAGCCAAGCAGCAAAAAAAGCTTTGCAGGAGTATGTGGCCATGGGGAGCCGTGCTCATATGGAAAAATAGGGTGGGAGGTAAGAGGGCAAAGGGAAGACAGATCAGATACCTTATAAAAGATGGGGGGGGGGGAGTGGGGAGAGAGAGAGAGAGAGAGAGAATAATATTTCCATTAAGAAGGCAAAAAAAAAAAAAAAGGACCTTGAAAACTAGCACAAATTCATCATCGGGAAAGTGGTAAGTATTCCCACAGGGCTGGGCCACATACAGAGATAATTAGTCTTCTCTCTCATGCTTCCAGATACCTAGGATGCATCTAAGGTGAGAGCTTGAGGGAAGAAGTCACACTTGCTCTGATTCTAAGGGCAGAGGGAATAATGACCAAATTCCAACACTTAAGGTAGAAACAAAATTCTCAGGAGGCCTGTGCCTCCTTCTTCTTAATGATTGATAACACAGGATCCCCAGAGAGAAAGGAAAAGTTATCTGCAACTCAGAGACAGACACTTCACTATGGGCAGCAACACTGGCAACCTAACCCAGAAGCCCAGTGTGGCTCCTTTTTCATTTGGAATGGGTTTCTTCACCATAGCAAGGCAGAGTATGCTCTGTCAGGATCAGTGCCAGGATCAGAGAGCTCCATAGAGAGCCAGGCTTTGCTGAGAAACAGCAGGTTATGATGCTTGGCCTAAGAACATAATATGCTAGAGTCCAGATATCTGCCTAATGGAATTTTCTCTGGATGTACAATAAAGTACAAAGATCTGGATCTTTGGCAAAAGGTATCCAATGAATACAAAAATCAGAACTGGGTAGACAAATGAAAAAATTAAATGGCCTAGTGGAATTTTTAGCATTTGTGATCTTCATGAAAGAACAGAGCCATGTATGTGGCCTTTTTCCAGTACTTGCTAAGACATATGGTCTCTGAGGAATCAGACTCTATGGGCCCAGCCTATATAGTATTTAATGAGGCAAATTGCCATTTATCTAAGGTCCATCTCCCTACCTTCAAAAGGAAGATAACTTCCAGACTAGCTCTGAGGGTATATGTGAAGACCAGGGTAAGTTGGAGAAGGTGCAGGTTGGGGAGAAAGATTAGAGTGGGAAGGTTATAGTGATCATGGGTGGTCTGGTGTTCTCTTGAGTCACCTTGGTCTTGAGAGTTTGAGGCAGATGAGAATAGGAAAAAATAGGAAAACAAACAAACCTGAGAGTATAATTAGGGCTGGGAAGGGAAAGGGGGACTCATTTCATTCAAGATTTGTAGGGCCACTCTAGATTTTAACTCTTAGAACCAATCTGGTTCCAATGGAACCCTAAAACCAACAGGTCTGTCTCTAAAATAAATCAAACTCTTAGGTGGGACATAAAATATCAGGCTGCTCACATTCCTAATTGTTTGTATTGTTGGAGTTACTCAAGAAACGACTTCTGAAATACAGACTCCTAAGGTGGAAAAAACCAGAACATAAAAAGATATCCCAACAGAGAAGAAATACCACAGACCAAATTGCAGAGACATTAGATTTCAGTTTCATCAATGGCTGAATGTCTGATGAAGTACAACCTAGTCAAACCAGCTTTGATCATCTGAACACACTCTGTAGTGTCATCTCTGTACAGTTTAGCCAATTAAGCTGCAAAGACCTTCCTAGGAGACAAACACATTCTGCTTCTTTAGGGTGTCAAGCTGTGGGCCTAATAGACCTGTCCCATTTCCGAAGACATACACCCCAAATCCCTTGGAAAGTATGCCTTTCCTTGCTCAGTTTCAGAAGTAGTTTTAGGCAGTAAGAGGAAGTTTCAGGAAGCAATGTTTCACATTTCTGAGACAGTGTCAGTTTGGAGGGAGCTTCCTGGGAAACTATCCAGTTCAACAACAAAGAAGTAAAACTATGGGTCCCAGTCGGGCTGCTCCCCACTTCCTGAGCAGAGGTTAATTGGGTAGAAAGACAGCAAAACAAATGTCTGACAAATATCAGAGCTGCTGAGGAAATAATGGAGACACATTCCTCTTGGAACCAGAAAGTGTTAAAATAGACATAAATATTTAAGGAGAAGACAGGAGTCCTGGGTAAAGGAGACTCCCAGTAAGCACAGGCACAGCTGAGTTCTTGGTGTAGCTTGCCAAAGCCATTATAATCCTTCTTTCTCATCATTTTATAAAGAAGGCAGTGACAGCGATGGTCAGGGCTGGGAACCCAGGCCATGTTAATTCAGTGGCTTCCAAAAGGCCTTACTTGGGATGAACAAAAGCTGAGAAAGGCAGCTATTGAAATTTTATTCCAGGAAACAAGGAGTCTGGAATCCCTGGACTAACTCCTGAGCCTGGTCAAGAGAAAAATGACCACTGCTAAGGCTTTAGTCAATGGGGAATAATGCAAAAGATACACTGGGAATGGTTACCCCATTTCTTTCATTCCCCAGCCTGTCTTCTGCGACTCTCATAGCCCTCAGGGCAGTAACCACTCTGGGCCAAGGTGACAGGCACAGGATTCTAGATTTTAATAAATAAATAACCTAACATATAGGGTGAGCACGGCGAGCAGCTGATTGGAGAAGCAGCTTGCTGGGTTCTTTCCTGTATAGGAGTGTAGTTCTATTCCTTAAAACTTCTTCTGGCTTGAGTTACAGGAACTTAATACCTGGAGGGAAAAAGAAAGATGAGACTGTGGTATTATCAGCTTGTGGCAATGCTGGGGCATGAAGAGCCTGACTAGAGGTGTAATAGGGAGGCAGGGACTTTTCTGAAGTATATGGTAAAGGGCTGATAATTCTGGTGCTTTTTCACATCAGTAAAAAAAAGTCAGCATTTCTCCATAAAGAGGTAAAAATCATATCAAGAAGATGACATGAAGAAAGGCAAATTCAGGAAAGGGAACACTAATGTCTGGAGAAAGCCTCAAAGTCTTTTGGGGGTGGTAGTGAGGGAGGGTGGGTTTATTTTTCTGATGATTCAAAAACCAATTCCAGTGCAGGAAACTCTTCACTACCCAGGCTTCCCTGTATTCTGGGGAACCCAAGGCACCTGTAATAATTAGGCTTGAAGGGCCCATTCTTGTTGAGTCCCAGATACTTGGCCTGTTCATCTGTCAGCTCTGTCAGGTGGGCATCAAAGGTGGGCAGGTGTAGGCTGGCCACATACTCATCTGGAATAGACCACAGAAGCCCTGGTATAAGCATTCATGCCTCTTGTCTGGCTGTTCTCTCCAGGTTAGGCCTTAAAAAGTTGAAAGACGCCTTCTAATTCTTGGAGCTGAATGAAAAATGCTCAACTTTGGCTCACTGGCCCTTAGTTGCAAGGAATGGCTGCTTCAGTTTCGAGCCCATAACCTTTTCAAATCCATAATCTTTCTTCCTTAAAAGCTGCTTCAGCCTTGAACCTTTCCTTCTCCTCAGAATGGCAAGAAAGATATAAAAGAAGTAAAAGGTCTTTGGGTCTAAAAGAAAGGATGGGATAGTGAGGAGACTGAAAAATAGGAAGCTCCAATTTCAGTTCTGCCTTGAACTGTATACCTTGAGTCACTCAGAAAAACAAACATCTGGTAAATCTGAAAGGAATGACAGAATGATACTACACTGTTTGCCTTGCTTTCAGTATGCTTGGTTCTCTTATGTGTTTCTGTTTATATTCCCTTACCTGAAAATATATTCCTTATTCAGAATTTTATGTCATTTTCTATGTATTTGTTTGGTCTCCCTAACTTAATGACACTCATTCAGAACATGGACTGCTTTATTTCTTTTATATCCTTCTGAGTGTCTATTCAAGGGAAAACATGTCAACTACTAACAGCTGCTGTGCATGTAGTATAAAGCAAAAAGAAACCAGAAGCTGATTTATTCCCTGATCTTTGCATGAAAGCTTAATAAACACACTGTCTCAGTTCAGGTGCTTGAGGCAGGTTCTTTAAAAATTTAAGACAGTTTAATGTTTCTCTTATACAAAACACCCACATAACTCAACTCTTCATAGAAGCTATTCAGAATCTCTCCTCTGGCTTGAAGCGATGGGGTGAGAGTTAGAAGGTATATTATGAAAGTTTTCTTGGTCTCAGAAAGTTGGTGGGGGCTGTCTAGAACTGGAATAAGTCAGATGTCGCAGGTAGGAGATGATTTCTCTCTCTTGGAGAAAATCTTTTCTCCTTTGAGATTCTTACATACAAGATACTTGATGAGAGAAAACCCTTAAAATTCACAGGTAGGTAAACTAAATCAGAGCAAAGTGTCACGACTTCACGGGAGCAACCACTGTGGCACATGTGATAAATCAGCTATGGATGGAACCTAGGAATTCCAGCTCCTACTTTACAAGATAAACATATCTCCTCCCCCTCTAACTTTAAGAAACATAACGCCCCCAAACTTCATTTAGCTTCTGACTTTGAACTACTTTGGTAAGGATGAGGATGGAAAAGCACATACTTACCCATTTTCTTGGGCAACAAGTAGACATCCTGCTTATAGCGACCCTCAGGAGCATTGTAAAGCTCTATCAAGGCAAGAGCCTAGAAAACAGAGAGATGGACGCTGATGTGCCATTCACAGCAACCCACCTATATCAAGTGAAACCCTGATGGTCTTATGACCCTCTTCAGCCTGCTGCTTTCCCACTCTGGAGGCCTTACCTGAGTAGTAGCGGTAATTGAGAGCACAAATGTAGGCACTGTGGAGCAGCTTAGGTTCAGCAGACGGCCCTGGAGAGTGAGGATTAAGACACAAACTGGTTAGGACAAAGTCTCCGGCCTTTGAGGAGTGAGGGAAGAGCATTCCTGCCAGTTTTCAAATACTTCCCAACTAACACTGCTGGACAAAAAGCAGATGTGCAATAAATAGAAATTAATTGACATTTAAGTGATACCATAAAAAGTTCTGGAGAATTTGATGAAGGTAATAGATAAATGATCTCTGGGATTATGTAAAAGGAATAAAAGTGGTCACATGATACTAAGACTGAGGCGGAGGAAGAGTGTATTTGTCTGAATTTTCTACTTTCTATAGCAGAATATCCTCCTTCTAAGGTATTGGCATTCCTTTGAAAGACTGTCCTAAACAGTGATCTACTCTGGTTTCTCTTTAGATCGCATAAATCTTTTGCCTTTACTAAACAGTGATTTAGTCAAATTCAGGGGCAATCTCTCTCCGGGTTAACAGAGAAGATTTTTTTTGGATTTAGGAAGCTGTGATGAGTTTGTGTTTCTTCCTTAGTTTGGTTCCTCTAAATTCAAGGGCAGCTTTGTATTCTGAGTGAATGATTCAGAGACTAGAAGAGCTAGAAACTGCCCAATATCATCCTTCCCTACTTCATTTTCTAGGAACCTTGACATTTTTTCCCCTCAACCATAGGAACCAAAAACAATTGGTGCTTGTTTTTGTCACCAAAATGACTAGAAGGGACCTTCCAGGACAACTAGAAATATATCACCAGACAGTGGGCAGACATCAGAGCAATTCATGTACAACTCCTTTCTTGTGAAGAAATAATTCAGTCCCTTTATAGATGCTGTAGAATATTTGAGAAGGTGAGATAAGGTGAGAAAAGGTAAAGAGAACAGGAAGATTTTCAAACATAAGTTTAAGGGCTCCTAGATGAAGACTGTATATATTTTACATTTAAATTCAGTTTTTTTTAGCCCTGGCCAGTTTTGCTCAGTGGTTAGAGTGTCGGTCTGTGGACCAAAGAGTTGCAGGTTTGATTCCAGTCAAGGGCACGTATCTCAGTTGTGGATCGGTCCCTGGTCCTGGTCGGGGTTGTGCGGGAGGCAACCAGTCGATGTGTCTCTCTCACATCGATGTTTCTCTCTCTCTCTCTCCCACTCTATCTGAAGATACAATGGGGGAAAAAAAATTCAGTTTTTTTGTTTGTTTGTTTGTTTGTTTTTATTTTTTTTTATCCTCACCCGAGGACATTTTTCCATTTTTTGTTCAGGTAGAGTAGGAGGGGGAGAGAGGAACAGAGAGAGAGAAACATCGACGTGAAGGGACACATCGAGTGGCTGCCACCCGCACGACTGACCAGAGCCGGGGACAAACTGCAACCAAGGTACATGCCCTTAGCGGGAACCGAACCCGGGTCTCTCGGGACCGCAGGCCGACGCTCTAACCGCTGAGCCAAACCGGCCAGGGCAAGTTTTTTGGTTTTTTTTTAAACAATATTTTTGTCTTTATTGATTTTTAGAGAGAGGGGAAGTGAGAGGGAGAGAGAGATAGAAACATTGATGAGAGAGAACATCGATTGGCTGCCTCCTGCATGCCCCCCACTGGGGATTGGGCCCACAACCTGGGAATGTGCCCTGACCAGGAATCAAACCGGCGACCTCTTGGTGCAGGGTCGATGCTCAACCACTGAGTCACACCAGCTGGGCAAAATTCGTTTTTTTTAATTAAAAGAAAAAAGACTGAAAAACAAAACGAGAAAAGTATTATCATCCTCCTTGTTGTTTTGGTTTCTTTCCCTAAAGAAGAGAAAGTGTCAAGGTAAGAACAAAGGGCATTGTTCTAGCTGTCAGGAATCTAGGACTAGGAAAGAGAAGCTTTCAAGAAAGGAAAAGAGGCCAAGTAGAATGAAAGTCAAGACTAAGTTTGATCTAGAAGTAGCCAGGAGAGGGAAATATTAATCACACACCCAGTATATAACAGGGTACATACTACATGTTTGGCTCAATTCAAGGAAATGGACACTCAAAAACGGAGTCTATCAGCAAAGACATGGCCTACCTGGAGCTTGCCTAAGACAGTCTTAGTTACAGTCAGGAATATCTACTTTGCGCTTACTGATTAAATCATCCCACACTCGGCATTATCTCTTTATAAGCATCACTCAGAGTAGCATGAGTTCTATCCATTTAATTTCTTTCACAGTAATAGTCATTATCTGACTCAGCCTGTGGATTGACATAGAGAGACAGGATAATTGGTGGAAAGTGGAGAACCAAAATAGTTTCTTATTTGTCAAATGAAAAGACCTTTCACAGTTAGATGTAAAATCCATCGGTAAAGTAGTTAAGCTTGTGCTTAAGAGGAGTTGAAAAGTGTAAGAGAACATGAGCAGGAGGGGATCTGAGTACTGCAGTCTCTCCTGTCAGAGTTGAATCTCTCTTACCAGCCTCAGGTCCTACCTCTGCCAGCAATATTATCCTCTTGCCATCAGGCCATATTACATGGTCAACTTGGGATCTCACTCGCTCCCAGGTCAGTTCTGGTGTCCGCAGACTTGCCTGGAATATATACAGCAAGCACATCATCAGCCATGCCAGGTCCCACCTTATGGATGAAAAGGTGTTGGAGGGAGCCATTTCAAATAGCAAGTTGAAAGGAGCAACCGACATGCCAGATTGAGAATACCTGTCCTGGGTTGGTTAGGACTGTTCCATTTCAGGAAAATTAATCTTAGGCCCAGCCAGGGAGGGATCACTCAGGATGTCATTCCACAACATATACAGTACGCCCACTCTCTGCTGAGCACAGTAAAAGGTGCTATGGGAAATACAAAAGAAACCAAAGACATGGTTTCTGCCTTCAAAAAGCTCTCATTCTGGTTGGGGACATAAAACAATACATATGTGGGGGGGGTGGGGGGAAGCCTTTAAAATACTTAAAAAGCAACATGCAAACAAGTGCAAATTAATACAATGCAAGCCGAATATGTAAGTGCTGAAGAAACACACACAAAAAGGAGGATCAGAGCTGAGTGAGATTAGTTAGAGAAGGCTGGATGTCCTAAACATAGCATGCTGGGGCCCAAGTTCTGCCCTCATGTCCCAGTGTGCCAGTTTCCACTTTCTTAATGGTGGTGGTTCACCCTAAAGTTACAGAAGCTTTGTGACCTAAGTGCAAATGTGAAGTAGCCTTTAGAGAAATGCTTAATGGTAGAATAAAGCTCCCAATGGCTCACCCTCCTTCCATTTCTGTATATTGTATATTCCGAGAACAAGAGAAGAAATGTTAAGTTTGTTAACAGCAGCAATCAAATAACAGTCACAGGGGTTAAACTGAAGACAACTTCCTTCTTCCAATAGGCAATGCCTAAAACAGAAAGGAAGTCCATATTCTAACACTACCTCAAGGTGGTAAAATTGAGGAGTTCTGTCAAATACTAGTTTTTAGACAAATAGAGAAATACTTCAGTTACACAGTTATTGTTTACTGAGTACATACTATATTCTAGGCACCAAAGTAAAGGACACTATGATAGATATGACTGTGGACTTCTATACTAGACTGGGAGCTATTTCTGGGTAGGGACTATATCTTCTTTTCATTATCAGCCTAGTGGGAAAGAGAGATATATAATATATCAGTATATTCAGGGCTGTATTAATGGTCTGGTCCATTTATTAAGTGGATGGAAAATAAAAAATTTCTTGAAATGTCAAGTTTAACCTTTCTAGAGGGCAATTTGGCAGTAGCTAACAAAATTTTATGTGTATCTAATCTTTGACCAATCAATTTTATTTAGAAGGCTGTATCCTATAGAAACACTTGTTCTAGTTGAGAAATATAAGTGCCCAAGAATGTTTCCAGTGTTGTTTGTAATAGCAAAAATGTAAGGCAACAAGGAAATGGCTAAGTAAATCCGGATAAATCCATACAATGGAATATTATGCAATTGTTTAAAAAAAAGTATATCTATATGTGTTAACATGAAAACAATTCATTATTGTTAAGTAAAAAAAAAACAAGTTGCAGAACAATATACTACAATCTCAATTATGTAATTTTTTACTTCTTAAACATATTTATATTGTTTGAAAATTGAAACTAAGCAAATATTACTTTAAAATTAGAATTTAGAAAGAAATTTTACAAACACTGTAAATAGGTTAAAAAGGAATTTAAGCGGGTAATTTTGGGAAGTAAAGGATAGAAGTTAAGTTAGAAATATCACCACGAAGGCAATAACCACATAGAGCCAAGAGATACTCCTTGGTGACACTGGTATTTATTTATGGAGTTGATGGGGCTTTAAAGTATTTCAAGTTCTTAGTGTTTCATACTCCTAATCTTCCAGAAGACAAGCAACCTTGGTGACTGGGAGCAATGAGCTACTCCATGATTAACAACAGTCTCCTGTCCTAGAAAGTATTCCCTGGGAAAAAGGATATGGTGGAATCAAGGAAAGGACACTTCTTATGAACATCATGATCAATGCTTAGTAGAGGCAGTTTACGAGAATACTGGAATGGCTATGTTGCAAGCAAAAGTTTTAAAATGGGGTTTGAAGAGCTATCCAGGCAGCTCCAATAACCTACTTAGGTCTATTTGGCAGTCAAGCTCCCCAAGAGAAGGTTTTCCTATGGCTGTAACACAGCTTTAGGAGAATTTCTCTTAAAGACACCCAATTGTCTTTACTGTGGAATTACAATCACTAAACAATAATCTACCAGGAAAAAGTTCCCTACTGCAGACTACCTTCCCAAACTAGGTATACATCCCACTGTAAATCTGCCAGTTACTATGCTTGCATAAATTGTTATTATATGGTTATGAACCAGTGTACATCACTTTTTTCAGGGAGAACAACTATGGTTCTTATTCTGCAAAGCATGGAGTCAATAAATAGCAAGTCTCAGGTTGTAATTCTTTGGCTGACAAAACTTTTAAAGCATGTGTCATAATGGTTTAACCACCTGAACTGTGAAGCTTACAGTCATACAGACCTATGTGATGCATATGGGTAAGCAGGTCTGTTTTCAAGGGAGAGAACATACGTGAAAGACATGGCCAAAAGGCAGCTAAGAGCACATTCCCTATCACAGGTTCCCTACATATTTGCATCATTAATATTTCTCTGGAAAAAAAAATGCAGCTTTAAATGACCAACTATTTATTTATTTATTTATCTTCACCCGAGGATATTTTTTCCATTGATTTTTAGAGAGCGTGAAAGGGAGGGAGGGAGGGGGAGAGAGAGAAACATTGATAGGAGAGAGACACATTGATGGGAGAGAGACACATTGATTGGTTGGCTCCAACAAGTGCCCCAGTCTGGAGCAGAGATTGAACCTGCAACCCAGATACATGTCCTTGACCGGGAATTGAACCCATGGCCCTTCAGTGCACAGGCCTACGCTCTAACCATTTAGCCACACTAGCCAGCGCTAAACGACCAACTCTTGATGGGTCAGTCCTTCCTAAAAATGCAGCAGTCAACATCTCAAGCTTGGGTAAAACTATAAATATCTACTTAAAAAAAAAAACAAAAACAAAAAAACACCACCTTAAATTTTTGAATACTAAAAAAAAATCTGGATAAAACCTTACCAACTCATTCTCCTTCACAGTTGCACTGAGTTGACTTACAGTGATTCTCCTCTTTTTCTCACACTCTGCACCCAATCCTTTTAGCAAATCCTATTGGTCCTATCTTCACAATGTATCACTTCTTATCACCTTCATTGCTTACCCATCTGATCCAAGCTACCCCCTTCTATTTTTCTCTTTATTGATATTAGAGAGAGAGAGAGAGAGAGAGAGAGAGAGAGAGAGAGAGGAAGGAAGAAAGAGGGAGAGAGATAGAAACATCGATGAGAGAGAACATCGACTGGCTGCCTCCTGCATGCCCCCCACTGGGGATCAGGCCCACAACCTGGGTATGTGCCCTGACCAGGAATCAAACCAGCGACCTCTTGATGCCTGGGTAGATGCTCAACCACTGGGCCACACCAGCCGGGCACCCTTCTATTGCTGGAAATATTGAAAGAGCCTACTATTGTCCCTATCACTACTCAAGCTCCAGACATGTTTTCTTTATACAACAGCCAGCATAATCTTTTAAAATACAGGTCAGATTTTGTCAGTTACCTGTTCAAAACCTTCCAATAGCTTCCCTTGTACCCAGAAGAAAATCTAAAGTTTTTACCATGGCCTCAAAGCTCTACATCACACTACCTCCTTGAGTTGTCCCCTATCCTCATCCCCTTGCCCATTCTGTTCCTGCCAAGATGACATCTTTTCTGTTCCTCAGATACATTAAGCACTTTCTATCTCAGGGTCTTTTATCACCATTTTGTTTGAATAGAATGCTCAGATGACTTGCTCTTTCCATTCATTCAGGTTTTTGTTCAAATGTTATCTTCTCAAAAAGACCTTTCTTGCCCTGGCTGGTTTGGCTCAGCGGTTAAAGCGTAGGCCTGCGGTTCAGAGTGACTGTGTTGGGTTCCTGCTAAGGGCACATGCCTCAGTTGCAGTTTGTCCCCAGCCCCAATTGGGTTGTGCGGGTAGCAACCACTCGATGTGTCCCTTTCACGTCGATATTTCTCTGTCTCCCTTCCTCTCTCTCCCTTCCACTCTATCTGAACAAAAAAATGAAAAAATGTCCTTGGGTGAGGATAAAAAAATTTTTTTAAAAGACCTTTCTTGATCACCCTAGCTAAACAGTATCCTCAGTGTCTTTATCTTGCTGTTTTTCTTCAACACTAGGCACTAACTAATAATAATAAAAACTGTCTATTTATTTATTGTCTGCCTCCCACATTCGAATATCAAGTCCAGGAGCGCAGGCATGTTGCTGTTCACTGCCATTCTTCAGGCAAGTGCTTGGCACAGAGCAGAGCAAGCATTCATCACACATTTGCTAAATGGTAAATGAGCATTCTGGTTTAAATTATCAGTTGAGTTTGCTATTTCCTTAAATTTCATTTACACACCCTCTGATACTAACATCAAAGGTTGAGGAACTTAATTTTTCTAAAGCTCTTTTAAGCATCTCCTTTTCTGGACCATTTGGTTTAGTCATATATCTTCTGCTAAGAAAAGCACAAAAAGAACTGAGAGATGGCCTTTTGCTAGTGTACCTGGCAGATACTGGGGCTACCTAGCAATACCTACAAAACTAGGCATACTCTCAACACAGAAGCCATCCTTTAGAAGCAGAAGTCAGATTGCTATAAACCCTACAAGGGCTCCCTATTTCTCTCAGAATATAACCAGGAGTTCTTACAATGGCCCATGAGACCCTATAAGGTCTGGTTCATTACCTCTTTGACCTCATCCTGCCTCATACTCATTCTGCTCCAACCATACTTACACACTGGCCTCATTATTGATCCTCAAACAGACTAAGGCACCCTCCCACCTCAGGGCGTTTGCTTTGACTGTTCTCTCGTCTTGAAATGCATTTCACCTAAAAATCCATGACGAATTCCTTCAGGTCTGTTCATATATCGCCTTTTCAAAGAGGCTTATTCCTGATTCCTCTATTTAAAATTATAACTCAGCATTCTATGCCCTGGCCAGTGTGGCTCAGTTAGTTGGGTACTGTCCTGTGCATTGAAAGGTTGCTGGTTTGATTCCCAGTCAGGGCACATGCCTGGGTTGTGGGCTCAATCCCCAGTGTGAGGGGTGTGTAGGAGGCAGCTAATTGATGTTTCTCTATCTTCCTCTCCCTTTCTGTCTCTCTAAAAATCAATAAAAAGCCCTGGCCAATTTGGCTCAGCGGTTAAAGTGCCAGCCCTTGGACCAAAGGGTCACAGGTTAGATTCCTGGTCAAAGGCACACATGTAGGGTGCAGGTTCGATCCCCAGCCCTGACCGGGGTCCTGTGGAAGGCAACCAATCAATGTGTCTCTCTCACACTGATATTTCTCTCTCCCCCTCCCTCCCATCTATTCCAATTAACAAAAATCAAAGGCAAAATGTCCCCAGGTGAGGATTAACAAAACAAACAAACAAAAAAGACAAAAATCAATAAAAATATTTTAAAAATAACTCAGCATTCTTGATTACCCTTATCAAGCTCTACTTTTTCTTTTTTCCATGATGCTTTTGCCTTATAACATACTATAAATTTTACTCATTGTGTTTATTGTGTTTTTTTTTTCTTCTCTAAAATGTAAGCTCCATGAGGACAGCAATGTTTGCCTGTTTTGTTCACTGATTCTAAAAATTAGACAGCACCTGGCATATAGCAATCACAATAAATGTTTGTGATTGAAGGTAAGAAGTCTCCTGGACTTTATTCTGAGAGATTAATTATGTCTGGACTGCCTTCAGAGGAGAAATCACCATCGCAATTTGAAGTTAATCTAGAAATCATGAGGAGGTAATAGTACAACATGCAGGAAAACAAAACAAAAAGCTAGCTTAGAAATAAAAAATCCTGGATTTTGTGTTCTAATTTCATTTTGAATCAATATATATGACTGAATAATGTACTTAACATCTTAGTTTCCCAAATGCAAAGCAAGGGTAAGAATAATGCCCCATGGGGTGGTCAAGAGGATGAAATTAGATAAAATAAAAATATAAAAACACATGATTGCATTTGGAATTATTTTTATTTCAGTGCTTCTTGAGGGTTTAGGAGGGAAAATTCCTTCCCCTTTCCCTTAATCAGAAAATTTCTCATTCGGGCTCAGAGAAGGACTACTTCCCTTAAGCTTTTCCCATTTAGGGGCTCTATAAGCAGATTAATACAGAAAAGTACATGTGCTAGGCAGTTTTAGAAATATTAGTATCTTAGACCATTTACTAAAGGGGTGGCAGGGCACATAAGTGAAACTTAACAACAACAACAACAACAACAACAACGACTAACTAAATGATTCATAAGCAAAATACCACTGTAAAACAGAGTAATGGAGCCATGCCACTCAAAAACCTCAAGGGTAGAATAGGCTTTGGTAGGTTGTTTGTCTAGCTATTTTTATAAATAGAAGAACAGAGCACAGAGTTAAAAAGAGAAATAATTTAAAGTAAATATTATGAGAAACTATTTAAAATATTATCCAATAGGTTCTCAATATATCAACTGATCCTTACCTGGCAATGCTGAAGCTCAATCAGAGCAGCCCTCAGTGAAGATAAAAGCATGCTTTGCCTGAGCCATTTACCCAGAGAGAAATACAGTTGTGCCAGAAAAATGCCATAAAAATTTAAAACCAGAGTGAAAGTCACACAGAAATACTTTGGTAAGTCTGAAAAGAAATAAATAACACTTCTATTAACTATTACTTGGGCAAGTTAGTTGGACCAAGTGTTATGTTGGACTGGAAAATTTTAGGGTGAATATGATCAAATTAGAGAACCAAAGTGATATATTTTCCAGGTTTGAGGAACATGAGGAACACATGCTACTGAGTAGATTGTGGCACCTGTGAATCCAATTACTATAGTTTGGAAAATAGTTAAGGGGAGACTTAGCCCAATGAAAGAGGGAGAGAGAAAAAAGAAACCATAGTATTTGACAGACACAGTCAAACTTAAGCAATGTTCGCATTCCAGCCTTAAACCAATCTACTTATCTCACTTTTATGGTAAAATTAAACATTCCCCAAATACTGACTACCATTTTATGAAAATGTATTTACATTTATTTCTTTTTCTTTTTTCAATTTTTTAAATATGGTTTTTATTGATTTTTAGAGGGATAGGGAGAGATAGAAATATTGATTGGCTGGCTTCTGCAGGTCCCCATCTGGGGATTGAGCCCGAAACCTGGGCATGTGCCCTGACCAGGAATAGAATCTGTGACCTCTTGGTGCATGGGATGACTGAGCCATACCAGCCGGGCCTGACTCACATTTATTTTATCCTTTTTGTAGTTCTGAATTTACCCAGCTCTCAATCCTAAACATAAAGATAAAATAGCTTACAGTATAAGTAGGTATCAAGGTTGAGTGAAAGAAAACAATCTTTTGAAATGATTAAGTTGAGACAAAGAAGCTTTCTATTATCCACAAGCACAGATCATAGGCTAGTAAGTGAACAGACTGTGGATAGCTCTGTCAGGCACTCATGTTTAGAATCGCTGGTGACCCTGCTCTTTCTTCTTCCAGTTTGTTTCTTGGCAAGGAGAAAAGAAAAAGCTCCCAATGATGACTCGCTTGATCTTACCACATCAATCTCCGTGTTGGAATGTCCCATGTTACAAACAATGCAGCTATTCTTCATGCGGTCTAAGTGCTCTCTGGTTACCACATTCTTGTTACCTTAAAAACAGAAGAGAGAGCCACATAAAAGGAATGAAGCTGGACCCCTACCTCACACCATATTTAAAACTTAACTTGAAATAGATCAGAGACCTAAATATAAGAGCTAAAACTATAAAACTCTCAGAAGAACATGGAAATAAATCTTTCTGACCTTGGGTTAGGCAATGGTTTCTTAGATGTAACATCTAAAGCACAAGCAACCAAAGGAAAAATAAACTGAATTACACTGAAATTAGAACATTTGTGCTACAAATGATACCACCAAGAAAGTGAAATGACAACCCACAGAACACGACAAATATTTGCAAATCATATAACAGATAAGAAACTTGTATCCAAAATTTATCAAGAACTCTTAGACAACTCAATAATAAAATGACAAATAACCCAGTTTAAAAATGAGCAAAGGATCTGAATAGACATTCCTCAAAAGAAAATAAACAAAAGAAGATGTGCCAATAGGCACATGAAAAGATGCTCAACATCATCATGAAAATACAAATCAAAACCACTACTTCACACCCACTAGGATAGCTATCATAAAAAAGATGGATAATAACAAATTTGGTGAGGATGTGAAGAAACTGCAATTATCATGCATTACTGGTGAGACTGTAAAACAGTGCAGTCACTTTAGAAAAGTTTGGCACTTCCTTAAAATGTTAAAAGTAGAGTTATCATATGATCCAGCAATTCCATGTGAAAGTATATACCCAAGAGAACTAAAAACATGTTCACGCAAAAACTTATACACAATGTTCACAGCAGCATTATTCTCTTTTTAATTTTATTTTTCGATTACAATTTATATTCAGTTTTATTTTGTTTTAGTTTCAGGTGTGCAGCATAGTGGTTAGATAATCATATACTTTACAAAATGATCCCTTCAATATTTCAAGTACCTATCTGGCATCATACATAGTTATTACAATATTGACTATATTCCTTATGCTGTACTTTACATCCCTGTGACTATTTTGTAACTATCAATTTGTACTTCCTAATCACTTCACCTTTTCCACCCAGCCTCCCAACCCCCTCCCCCAGTCACCATCAGTTTGTTCTCTGTAAGTCTGTTTGTATTTTGTTTGTTCATTTATTTTGTTTTTAGATTCCACAGATAAATGGACGTATGATATTTGTCTTTCTCTGTCTGATTTATTTCACTTAGCATAATACCCTCTAAGTCTGTCCTGTTGCAAATGATAAGATTTCATACTTTTTAATGGTTGAGTAATATTCCATTGCATATATGTACCACAACTTTTTTTATTCACTCATCTTTTTTTTTTTTTTATATCTTTACCTGAGGACATTTTTTTATTTTTTGTTCAGATAGAGCAGAGGAAGAGAGAGAGAGAGAGAAACATCGACGTGAAAGGGACACATCGAGTGGCTGCCACCCGCACGATCCAACCAGGGCCGGGGACAAATTGCAATCCAGGTACATGCCCTTAGCAGGAACCGAACCCGGGTCTCTGGACCGCAGGCCGACGCTCTAACCGCTGAGCCAAACCGGCCAGGGCTTTTTTTTTTATTCCTCACCTGAAGATATGTTTCTACTTATTATCAGATAGAGTGGGAAGGAGAGACAGAGACAGAGAGAAACACTGATGTGATAGAGCTACATCAACTGGTTGTCTCCCGCACAACCCGACCAGGGCCGAGGACAAACCGCAACCGAGGTATGTGCCCTTGACTGGAATTGAACCCGTGACTCTTTGGTCCAAGGGCCAACGCTCTAACCGCTGAGTCAAACTGGCCAGGGCTATCCACTCATCTATTAAGGGGTACTTGGGTTGCTTACATATCTTGGCTATTGTAAATAACATTGCAATGAATATAGGGGTGCATATATTCTTTCAAATTAGTGTTTAGGTTTCTATAGATATATGCTCAGAAGTGTAATTTCTGGGTTGTCCTGGCTGGGTAGCTCAAATGGTTAAAGCACTGTCCTAATACACCAAGGTTGTGGGTTCAGTCTCTGGTCAGAGTACACATGAGAATCAACCAATGAATGCATAAATAAGTGGAACAACAAAAATCGATGTCCCTCTTTCTCTCTCCTTTCCCCTCTCTAAAAATCAATAAATAAAAAAAGGAATAAAAGGAACATAAGTATGAATAATAAAATGGGAATAACTATGTACTTATCAATAATCTCTTTAAATATAAACTGATTAAATGTTCCAATCAAAAGGCATATGGTAGCTGAATGGGTAAGAAAACAAGACCCATAATATATGCTGTCTACAAGAGACTCACTTTAGCTCAAAAGACACACATAGCCTAATAGCAAAGGGATGGAAAAATAAATTTCATGAAGCCCTGGCCAGTTTGGCTCAGCGGTTAGCATCAGCCTGCAGTCCAGAGAGACCAGGGTTCAGTACCTGCTAAGGGCATGTACCTCGGTTGCAGTTTGTCCCCAGCCCTGGTTGGGTCATGCGGGTGGCAACCACTCAATGAGTCCCTTTCACGTCGATGTTTCTCTCTCTCTCCCCCCCCCCCACTCTATCTGGAAAAAAAAATGGAAAAATGTCCTTGGGTGAGATTAAAAAAAAGAAAACAAATTTCATGAAAATGAAAAAAAAAAGCTGCAGTAGGAATTGCTGGGTCATAAAACAGTTCCATTTTTTTAATCCTCGCCTGAGGACATTTTTCCATTTTTTGTTCGGATAGAGTGGGAGGGAGAAAGAGGAAGAGAGAGAGAGAGAGAAACATCAACGCAAAAGGAACACATCAATTGGCTGCCTCCCGCATGACCCAACCAGGGCCGGGAACAAACTGCAACCGAGGCACGTGCCCCCAGCAGGAACCAAATCCAGTCTTCCTGGACTGCAGGCCAACGCTCTAAACGCTGAGCCAAACCGGCCAGGGCAACAGTTCCATTTTTAATATTTTGAGGAACTTCCATACTGTTTTCCATAGCAACAGCAGCATTCTTCTTCTTTTTTAAAATATGGTTTTATTGATTTTAAAGAGAGAGGAAGGGAGAGAGAGAAACACTGATCAGCTGCCTCCCACACGTCCCCTGCTGGGGATCGAGCCCACAACTCAGGCATGTGCCCTGACGGAATCAAACTTGTGACCTCATGGTGCACAGGGTGATGCTCGCTCAACCAACTGTACATTATTCTTTTATTTTTTTAATCCTCACCTGAGGATGTTTTTCCACTGATTTTCTGATAAGAGTGGGACACACAGATTGGTTGCCTCCTGCATGACCCCAACCAGGGCCGGGGATCGAACTGCAACCAAGGTATGTGCCCTTGACTGGAATCGAACTCGCAACTCTTTGGTCTGTGGGACAACCCTCTAATCACTGAGTCAAACTGGCCAGGGCAGCAGCATTATTCTTAATAGCCTAAAAGTAAAAACAACTCAAGTGTCCATCAACTGATAAATGGATAAATAAAATGTGGAATATCCTTAAAATGGAATATTATTCAGCAATGAAAAGAAATGAAATACTGATATATGCCACAAGATGGATGAACACTGACATTATGCTGAGTAAAAAAAAAGCCAGTCACAAGAGACCACATACTGTATGAATTCCATTTATATGAAATGTCTAGAATAGGTAAATCTATGGAGACAGAGAGATTAATGGTTACCTAGGGCTGAGGAAAGGTGGAGGGCAGCATGAGGAATGACTGCTAATAGTATGGGTTTCTTTTGGGGGTGATAAAAATGTTCTGGAATTAGAAAATGGATTTTTTTGCCCTGACTGGTTTGGCTCAGCAGTTATAACATTAGTCCTAGGATTAGAGAGTTTCAGGCTTGACTCAGGTCAAGGGCACGTACCTCAGTTGCGATTCAGTCCCTGGCCCTGGTCAGGGTCATGCAGGAGGCAATCAGTTGAAGTATCTCTCTCACATCGATGTCTCTCTCTCTCCCCCTCCTACTCTATCTGAAGATAAACAGAAAAATATCCTTGGGTGAGGATTAAAAGAAAATGGATTTTATTTTACTAAAAAAACAAAATCACTAGCCCTGGCCAGTGTGGCTCAGTTGGTTGAGCATTGTCCCATGCACCAAGAGGTGGCCGGTTTGATTCCCAGTCAGGGCACATTCCAAGGTTGCAGGCTTGATCCTAAGTAGGGGGTGTGCAGGAGGCAGCTGACTGATTGTTTCTCTCACTGATATTTCTCTCTCTCTCTCCCTTTTCCTTCCTCTCTCTCTAAAAGTAGTAAAAACATATTTATTTTATTTATTTATTTATTTTTTGATACTTTCCCCTAGCAGGAACTGAACCCAGAACTCTCTGGTCCGCAGGCCGATGCTCCAACAGCTGAGCCAAACTGGCCAGGGCAGTAAAAACATATTAAAAAAAAAAATCACTAAATAGTATACAGCCTAAATTTTTTTGATATGTGCATTATATCTAAATAAAAAATTAGATTGTGGCCCTGGCCAGTCTGGCCCAGCGATTAGAGCGTCAGACCAAAGAGTCGTGGGTTCGATTCCAGTCAGGGACACGTACCTCAGCTGCAATTGGACCCTGGACCTGGTTGGGGTCGTGCGGGAGGCAGCCAGTCGATGTGTCCCTCTCACATCAATGTTTCTCTCTTTCTCTCTCCCTCCTTCCCACTCTATCTGAAGATAAATACAAAAATATCCTTAGGTGTGGATTAAAAAAATTAGATTATAGTGATGGTTGTATGAACCTATAAAATTGCTAAAAAAAAAACAACCTCAACTGTACACTTAAGTGGGTGAAATCTATGGTATGTGAATTTCAATAAATCTATTTTAAAAGTAGATTGATGGATTGATGTAAAGCAAGAACAGTTTCTTGTGGTCCTTATTCTATGCCCCCAGCTTTTCCTGAGCCCACATATATATTTTCATTCTTAAGTATTTTGATTTTCTTCCCCTAAAATACAATTATAAAGGAAAACCAATGTTCCAGCAGTTTATGGTTCTACCATAAAGATAAAATCTGTCCAAGAAAACTAGACATTTCTGTATATTCCTCTCCAAAACTCAAAATCTACCTCTTTGAGAATCAACACAACTACCTTTCCTACTTTCTCTAACTATGCTCAGCCTTACTTTAATTACAGAGACTACAGAGAATATGTATCACATTGGGAGGTAAATTAAAAAAAAAAAAAATCAAATGTACAAATGTAAGATCTGGCTTCCCAAACAAAATTCATCTCTAGCCCTCTCCTAGGTGGCTGAAAATAGATGGAGATATAGAACACGAGATGGAGAGAAACCTTCCTCTAGAAATTACCTAAAGGTATACTTTTGGTAAAGCTCTAAAGAGGTAGGAGGAATATGACTGGTTTTTAAACTGCTATCTCTGGTTTTTAGAGTTTGGTTTTATTCAGACCATTTTATGTCATTTTTCATTTGTTCCATAAAAGCATTCCCAAGTGCTACCCCATTTTATATGTTATAATCATACCTGTACAGGTAATAACAATATCCACTTGTCGGATGACCTCATTCAATTTCACCAGTCGAAATCCATCCATACTGTAGAAATAAAGCATGATCAATTAACCTAAAAGACAACTGGGGAGCTTTTTGCCACAGAACCTCAAAAGCTATTACCAAGTTGCTTTGGTATCTACACGTCACTTCTTGATATAGCTGGACTACTCTTAACAGTGAAGAATTCAAACCATTTCCTTAGTTCATACAAGACAGAAATATAAGGTTCTTTCATATCACTAGAACCAAATTCTTCCTGATAATAGGAAGGCAATGTTAAGCATAGGATTACCAAATTAAGTTTCTAGAAAGTGCCATTTTATCACTGAACCTACTCGCCACTGAACTGCTCTCTCCAAGATCAATGATGTCCTGAATGCCAAAATAAATGTTTTAGACTCTTATATTACTTGATTTCCTCTGGTACATTAAACATTATTTGCCTTCTTAAATCTCTACACTCCTTGGAGTCCACACTGTTTTATCCTGGTTTTCCTACTTTTCTGATTGCTCCTTCTTGATCTCAGTCGATCTTTAAATGCTGGTACTCTGTAGGGTACTCTTTTCTTTATTCTCTCAGCACTACTCCATACCCTTTCCTCAGCTATAAATGACCCCTCACAGGTGGCTGATTTACACATCTGTATCTTTAGTTTAGATCTCTCCAAAACTTCAAAGCCATGGATCAAATTATCCACTGGACAGCCATTCCAGGATGCCCCACAAGGATCTCAAACTTCTGTGTTTGAAAAAAAAAACACAACTCATTATCTTCTCCATGCACCCAATCCTACCTATTTCTGCTTCTATATTTTCTTTTTTCAATTTTTAAAAATTGATTTTAGAGAGAGAGGAAGGGAGAGGGAGAGAAAGAGATAGAAACATTGATGAGAGAGAACATTAACTGGCTGCCTCCTGCATGTCCCCCACTGGGGATGTGGACCACAACCTGGGCATATGCCCTGACCGGGACCTGAACTGGCGACCTCTTGGTGCATGGGTTAACGCTCAACCACTGAGTCACACCAGCTGGGCTCTTCTTCTGTATTTTCTATATCGATTATTAGAAAATAATAATTCACCCAACTGTATAAGCCAACTAAACTAGAATGTCTGAGCCTACTGCCTCTTCCTAATTGAAGTTGTCACTAAATCTGATTGATCCTTTTTCCTAAATTGCTGTAAATCTCTTGAATCTGTCCCTTCCTCTCCATACATGCTGGCCTTATGTTCAGGTTTTATTTTTTGCCTATATTACTACAGTAGCTCCTGGCCCAATCTCATTGTCTCTAGGTTTATGCCTCTCTAATTCATTTTGCAGGGTGGATTTCCATAAATGCAATTTGGATCATGTCACCTTCTTGCTTAAAATACTTCAGTGAAATTGTCTGCTCTCAGGAAAAGACCCAAATACTTATACAGTACTGATATATGATTATACTGACATATGATTCCTACTTCAGATATTGTACTCCTCCCAAACTTATCCTATTGGCCAGCAACATTAAAATACTTCAAGCTTCTTAAATACACTGTGCTCTCTCCTTCCATGGTGACTATGTAATTTACTTCCAAACTGAGAAATCACTTACACAAGTTTCAAGAGGCAACTGTACCGATACTTTTGATCCTACCTCCTTGCTCTTTTGTTAGATATTTCTCTTTTATGCTCCTAAAGCACCTCCATCATAGCACTTACTACACTGCACAGTGGTTATTTGTCTGTGTATTTGTCTTCTCTTGTTCACTTATTCATCTTATTCATCCTCAGCTCAGAGCACAGTACCTAATATATAGTAAGTGATCAGTTCATATCGATAATTAGAATCTATCTCAATCAGTATTAAAGCAGGTTCAGGTTTCTCTAGTGAACCCTGAAAATACTAGAATGGTGCTAATTCCCTTCATGTGCTGGATCCCTGACTCAGAGAAAGCCAACAATCTGTTGGGGAAATATGTTGGTTTATGATTAGGACATGTGAGGAATAGTAGGAATGGTTATGAAAAAATCTTTATGCCATGCTCCATTCTATCCTGGGTACTTTCCTCTGGAGGGTTAATGGTAAAGATAGGGTGGGTTACCGAGATATAGAGAGTGGGGCTTTGTAGTAATTTTCAGGGATGGTGGTTTCTCCATCCTGTTGAGGATGGCAAAAGACAATTTTATTTTATTTTTACTATTTTATTTTTTGTTAATCCTTACCCAAGGATACTTTTCTGTTGATTTTTTAGATAGAATGGAGAGGGGGAAGGGGGAGAGAAACACTGATGTGAGACACATTTATTGGCTACCTCCTGCTCAACCCCAACCAGAGCTCAACCAGGGCTGGGGATTGAACCCTTAACCTAGGTACATCCCGTTGGCTGGGAATTGAACTCACGACCCTTTGGTCTGCGGATGATGGTCTAACCATTGAACCAAACCAACCAGGCACAAGAGATAATTTTAATAATAGCTACCATTTAGTGAGCATTTATTATGTGTCAGTAGCTCTATACTTTACATAGTTATATGACTATTATATATGATTATACATTAAACTTTTAATTTTGGAATCATTTCAAACTTAAGAATTGTAAGAATACTACAGACATCTCCATATACCCCTCACTCAGAGTTAGCAGATTTTATCCTTAGTTTGGATTTGTCTGATGTATCCTGATTAGATTTGGGTTATACATTTTTGGGAAGACTATTATAGAAGTGCTCTTTTCAGTGCACTATATGAAAAAGGATCTGGTACCAGCTTGATTCTTTTTTGATCATTTTTTCAAAGGGAGAAGGAGTACATGAAGGTAAAGAGCTACTTGTTCTCTAGGTCAAGGCAGGGGCTATTTCCATAGGAATTCTAAATTTTAGCCTCTCTGATAGTCTTTGTTCTCTCTGAGCAGAGCTCCTTGATCTCTGAAAAATAGGTGCTTACAGTTAATGGCAGCCTCTCAGGATCTGGGCCCCTCTAAGTTAAAGTGTGGTATTAACCAGGCCATTCTTTGGTGGCGGCTACAAGATCACATGTTAGCTGGTGGTGTGGAGGGAAAAGCAAGTCCCCTTTTCAAACTTACCAGGCTTGAAGAGCACAGATGGGGTCAATCTCAGTCACATACACAATGGAGCCCATGGCTTTCAAGGCAGCACAGCATCCCTTCCCCACCTGAAAATGGGAGAAAGCACATAATAAGGAAAGTCAACGAGAAAACAGTCTCTCAAAGCTTCTGGTAAAGTGTACCCCACTCTCTGCCCTAAGGAATTTCACTGAATAGATTCATGCTGGAGAAAAATAAGAAAAACAAATAAATGAATGGAGTTCCTAAACAAACCCGAGCCCCTGCTTAGCACATGCATGTGCATCAGAAACACCCACACACTATTTATAATCAAAGCTCAAGCTAAAAGAACATCACAAACAGTGCACTGGAACAGTCAGAAAATCAGCTTAAGAAAAAATGGCAAAAATGCAGAGGGAAAAAAAAAAAACATTGTACTTTAACCAGAGTCTCTAAAGCTAACCACCCCCCAATCTAAAGTGGTAAATGAATGTACTCTTATGTCCATACAAATGATAAATTATAATTTATTTCAGCAAAATAAAATTTAAACACCTAATACAGTAATTGAAAGGGTAAACTTTACCTCTCCATAGCCACAGACCACCACCTGTTTTCCACCAAACATCATGTCTGTTGTTCTTTTAAGTCTAGAGGGGAAAAAAATTACATCAGAAAAGTCTTTTCATTTCTCCCTTGAGATTACATTGGGTTCCTTGTTTTCATGTTTTACGGTGGTGTCATTTTTTTCTATTTTGAAGGAAAGTCTGGTTTCTAGCCTAGATAAAATATTGAATAACTAGAAAAAAAGGTTTAATAAAATATATATTTTCTCACTCCATGCTATGCAATCAATTGCATCTGTATGTGAGTTTTGGGTTTTTTCCTTTCTTCCCCCCCCACCTTGTCTCAGAGTGATGAAGAAGGGAAGAATCTATAGACTACAAAGTAACTTTTAAACATAAAAGCAGCCCTGGCCGGTTTGGCTCAGCGGTTGGAGCGTCGGCCTGCGGTCCAGAGAGACCCGGGTTCGGTTCCCGCTAAGGGCACGTACCTCGGTTGCAGTTTGTCCCTGGCCCTGGTTGGTCGTGCGGGTGGCAGCCACTCGATGTGTCCCTTCACATCGATGTTTCTCTCTCTCTCTCTGTTCCTCTCTCTCCCTCCCACTCTATCTGAACAAAAAATGGAAAAATGTCCTCTGGTGAGGATAATAAATAAATAAATAAATAAATAAATAAATAAATAAATAAAAAAAACATAAAAGCAATATACATTTATTATACAACATTTGGAATATATAATATATGAAAATAAAAGATACAAATAATAAAAATAATGTATTTTATCTAGGAAGTGACAAACTCTGGCTTAATGAAAATATTCTATAGCTTAATGAATTAGACATAAAATATAACACAGATAGATCAGTACTACATTTCATAGTATCATAATGGTCAACAGGTCCCACACTATCTTAGCAAGGCGGATGATGGACAACATGGAAAGGAGCTTTGAAACACGCCAACACTGACTACATGAGATAATGAGTTTTCTGGGGCAGGTTCCTTCTCAGACATATTCTACTTAATCTCTGATTCTCACTAGAATGAAGGTCCTTACTGTTTTCAGGGTCTCTTGGAAGAACTTGTAGGAGCAGTTGCTGGTTTCTCTTTAGGTTCAGTCAGTCTCCTTTCTCTAGGATTCTCTGGCTAAGCAGAACAAGGTTTTCAACTAAAACCAGCCTATTCTGAGAGAGAGTTCCTACAAATATTTGTGAGTTTTTCTACTCACTTATCTGTTAACCTCTCCTGTTGAAGAGTCTATAAATGCCCCAAAGGCAAAGGAGGAATCCTGTCTTTTTAATGATTTGACATCTCCACTTAAGAGGAACTAGTGAAACTCCCTAAACCCAAATGAAACTCAATAAATATCAATTAAGTGCCCAAGCAGTTTTTGAGTGAAAAGAGTAAGTCTAGTCAGATTGGACTACTATCTTATTCAAAAGTTGGGGCTTAGGAGAATGGTCCTGGAAGGGCTAGCACAGCAAGGAAAATCAATCTCTCATATTCTTGAGCCTCATTTGCATTGATTACCCTCAGGCGTTTCTGCCTCTCTTCCCAACTACTATCTGTAGTCTTTCCTGACGACAAATGGCTGTGTGGTGGAAAGGAAACTTCACCAACACGGCTACTCTGCAAATGATAGGCTGACAGACCTGAATGGATTCAGTTAGGTAGTGACTTCTCTGTGATCTTAGGGACCCACATTTGCCTCAAGGTTGGAGGATAAAGGATAGAAAAGACCTCAGTCAAAGAAGGACTTTTCAGGGGAGGCTGGGGGATAAGCTCTCTGGTGGTGTATAAGAGTCATGTCAAGTCTCCGACTTCTAATTCTTCTAGCCCCAAGACTCCCTAGAAGAGTTCCTAAAACACAATCTATTTTATGACCTGAAAACCGTATCTGGGATATTCTTAGTCTTCCTACCAAGTGGAACCTCACTTTCCAGAATACAAGAAATGACCGCTGGATGACAGATGAAATGAGAAAGTGATGGCTGAGTCCTATGGGGCCCTGTGCTCGGGAGTCCTGCAGGTAACTACAGGGACCTGGTCAGAAGATGCAGGCTGGCACCCCATCCCCTTTCCTGCCTCCTGTGTTTTCCCTTTTTCTCTGAAAATGTTGTGATAGGAACAATTAGTTCAGACCTTTTTGGTTTAAAATAAATACAATTTTAGCATCAGAAAAAAAATTGTGCACTGCTTTTTGGCATTGCAGACCAATTACAGAGTGTCCTCTAAGAGTCAGCAGGGCCATTCCCACATAACTTATGGTGTAGTGTGTAACCAGCTCAAACTACAGCTCAATCACTAACCCTTTCCTCATATGAACTCTCCCTTGGGCTGAATGTCCTCTCCTTTCCATTGCAGCTTTCCCTGGAGCATACTCTTTACTTCCTCTTTTTCTTTCCTTCCTCCTACTCTCAACTCCTCCGAGAGGAACCACTGAACGTGACCCAACTGGAAAGTTTCTCACCATCTGAAGGTGCCAATGAGCTCTTACTGCTCAGCAGGTTTTCTGGTAGACAGTTGATGCTTTCCTATTTCTTCATTACCTTAACTTCTGTTCCACTGTTTGCATCTTACTCTCACCTTTATACACATCTGATATTAAAGAATCTTTTTTATCCACAGGGTAAACACTGCTTAGGAGGGACTCTGTCCATTTTTATAGGTACCTTTATGTATCTTTGACTGAACCCAGTATAGGCAGATTTTAGGCTTACAGATTTGAGACTTGAAAAATCTACAAGATACATAGCTGTGGATGAATAAATATTTTAATGAGTATATACCCAGATTATTACTGATTTTATCAGACACAGACTATTTTCATTACTATACCATTTAAATGTGGACAGAACTAGGGACAGTCAGTCTATAAACAGAATGATGGACTGAGAATTCACTTAAACGTCCCATCTGTCTAAAAATACTACTGACTCAAAGGAGTAATAATAGTTCAGATTTGCATTGAACATCACCCCCTAATCCCCCCAAAAGATTTCAAGACAATAAGCTTCCCCTAAGATCTAACTCAATCTTAGAACTTATTGGAAAGGGTTCTAGAAAGAAGAGCAAGGGAACTAACATTGAACACCAGGATTGATACCTTATTTCATTTAATCCTCACAATAATTCTATGAGCTAGGCCTTACTGTCACCGTTGAACAGATGAGGCACAGAGAGATTAAATAACTAGTCCATAGCCTTACAGTTAACAAATGACAGATAGTTAAACCAAGGTCTTTCTGGCTCCAGGGCCTGTAGTGTTGCAAACTGCCTGCAGTCCAGATTGGTTGGTAATGTGCCCCACAGGTCTTTTCTTCATTTTCCCATTAACCTATACACGACGGAAACAACTTAATGGTTTCAGATAGGGAATTACTGAGTCTTCCTAGCAAGAACGAAGTTATGTCAGGGCACAAGTGTAGAAACAGAAACTGAGTATTGGAAGAATAAAGTATTTAGTATATATCTAAGTAGATTTTGCCAGATTTGCAATCCTTACAGATTTGAAAAACTAGAAATGCCTCTGAGAATCAACTCTTTGCTCAACACAACTTTCCAGTTTGCAAGAAAATTATATGATAGTTGGAGTTTAAGAACTGGCAGTATAACCTAGAATAGAAACATCAAGAACCTTTTTCCAAACCATCACAAATACTTATATGTTTATGATGACTTTAGTTAGTTACTCTCAGGCTTGTTAGAGTTGCTAAGTAGGAACTCTGCCACCAATAGACAAGGGGCTAGTCTGATTTTTTAAGTAAAAGAAGTTTGCTTATAATAGTGATAGCGATGATAGCTCTGGGTTATAAAATCTGAGCATAACGTGATGATAGATTCAGAGGTACTACATGAATCATTTCCAGAAATAACCCAAATGCTCACGTCAACAACTCAAGCTCATCTCAAAAATAATAAAAAATTACCCATCAAGAATTGATTCACGGCAACAGTAGAGGTTGTCAAATTTCTGTTTGGTGACTGAGTCATTGACATTCATGGCTGGAACACATAGTTTCCCAGCTTTGGATAGCTGGTACAGCCTGAGGATGAGGAAATCAAGAACATAAAACAATAAGATACTGCAATCTACTGTCAATTTCATATCAAATTCCAGAAATATGTTGATTGGGTAGGCATGAGAGCATGAGACAGGACTAGTTTATCCTATTAGGTATGTGTAGAGAAATAAAGAATATCTTTTTAGAGTCTATATGCAGCTTAGAATAAAGATGTTAGTCAAAAGGCATGTGGAGAAAATCTCTAGACCACCACTAAATTATAAGGATTAAAATGTAAAATTTTAAATTGCTTATTAATTTTATTCACCTTTTTAATGACAAAAAATTAAGTACTATGTTAATCCCACTACACTAATGCAATCATTTTAACTTCCAGTCTCAATTTTATAATCTCAATACACGTATCTATGAATATGTATATCCCTATATAAGAGTTTTATTTAAACTGATTCAACTAAGTATCAGAACCAGGTGTTTTAGTCAAAATTCACCCCTTTCTAAGAGTCTGAAAGTACAGTCTAGCCCATAGTTTTGTATATTCAAAAAGATCACAGAATACTAAAGCAGTGATGGTAGCTTGTTCAGAATTTACTTCCCTAAAGCTTTTGTTTCATACTTTCAGTTCCTTCTGGGTAAATAATAATAAACAAAAATGATTTCAATTTTACTCAGGGAATTCTTGCTCATTTAAGAACAAGAACCCTAAATCCTTGCTCTCTTTGTAAGAATGTAAGCACCATCGAGACCTAGGTTTTTATTTGTTCTGCCCAATGCTAGATCCCTAGCACAGTTCTTAGAGCTGTTCCGGGTTCATTGTAGAAGTTCAATAAATATCTGTTGCATAAATGAATTCATCCAAAAAAGTACAAGCAGTCACTGTATAACAATGACTAGAAACATGAGGACCATACCTGATCCCTACCTATCCCCGCCCTCACTCTATTAGGTTTGTTATTTGTGTGAATTATAAAAAACAAGTGTGCAGACTCAGATCTCATTACCCCATAGTGGGTTCCAATTTTTAACATAATGTATTCTACAGGTATGTGATTATAAGACTGTATGTCTAGGCTATATAAAACCAGGTACGCCCATGTCAAATCTTACCTATGAACTCCAGTTACACTCTCTTCTACTATGCCCTTGATTTTCTTAAACATGTTGGGATACTTCTTATAAATCCAGTGAGTTAGATCCCCTCCATCATCCAAGATCTGCAACAATAAGCATCAATAATGTCATTCATTTTGCTGAAGGTTCAATGTTTCCAGTGCTTCTCTGGACCTTGTATCCCAATTTCTAATTGTTAATTTACAGATATTTCAAATTTCCCACATGGTTATGTGAAGTAACTTAAAGCCAGTATAATGCCCAAACAGCCATTAGATGGAAGTAAAAGTCAATGAGGGGTGAAAGACCAACTGTAATTCTCACAGCCTAATAACCTTCCCACATGACATACCTAATAAAGTAAAATATACAGCAATACAATGAGGATTTTCTTATGGACTAATAACTTAAGTGGTTATCTAAAATCACTAGTTCTTTTAAAAATGTTTTTATTTATTGATTTTAGAGAGAGAAGAAGGGGGGGGTAGAGAGAGAGACATACACATAGGTTTGTTTTTCCACTTTATGTGTTCATTGGTTGCTTCTAGCATGTGCCCAGACCAGAGATTGAATCTGCAACCTTGGTGTATCAGGACAATGCTCTAACCAACTGAGCTACCCAGCCAGGGCCTAAATGACTAGTTCTTGAATGTACCATAGATATTCAGAAAGCCTAAATTTGATTCTAGAATATTCCTATTCATTAAATTTAGGACTTTAAATATAATCAGTCAAAGTTTAGTTAAAATAGCCCAGCTGGTGTGGTTCAGTGGTTGAGCGTTGACCCATACACCAAGAGGTCGCCAGTTTGATTCCTGGTCAGGGCACATGCCCAGGTTGTAGGCCAATCCCCATTGGGGGGCATGCAGGAGGTGGCCAATCGATGTTCTCTCTCGTCGATGTTTCTCTCTCTCTCTCTCTCTCTCTCTCTCTCTCTCTCTCTCTCTCTCCCCCTCCCTCCCTCCCTCTCCTTTCCCCTCTCTCTAAAACCAATAAAGAAAAAAAAAGTTAAAAAAAAAAGTTTTGTTAAAATAGAGCCAGATAGTCTTCTTCCCAGAACAATGGCTCATAAAACTGTATTCATTAATCCTTTACTTCTGCCAAAGTACAGGTACTCTCCTACCCAAAATATCAGGCAGTACTGTAGGTTTTTGCCTAGCACAACTCTCTATAACCAATTAAAAATTAGTAGGGAACTGTGCAGCTTGTAGGTGTGCAAGCATGCCTCTGAACAGCTCATCACTATTTCAGGTTGCGATTTCAGATACACACAATGCTGTGCCCACTGTGGCTTTCATCTGTAGAGGAAAGTTTTTGAATTATAAATAAGCTAAAGAAAGATCAGCTTAGAACACTGTTAGGCACCAGGTCGTGGCATTTCAGCCTTTTTGCCTGGCTGTTAGAAATGCTTACAGGACTTTCCAAATTGTTATACCCATCCTCCTGGAAAGTCCCACAGAACTGAACTGCCCTCCACTGGCATGCACTCATTTTACAGTCCATCAATTATCAACTCTACTGTAAGTGCCAAAAATCCCATCCGGGACCTCTGGGCACACAAAATCCCCAACCTCGTGTTTACCACTTGATCTCTTTTTTGCTTCTGTTTTTGCTATTGATCTACTTTCTCTGACTCTACTTAACCTTACTTAAGAGCAGGGATCCAAGACTGAGCTCTCATTAAAATGCTACACTTGCTCCATATTATAAGTTTGTGCTCCATTTTTCTCCTAGTAGAAACCCTCAGAACAGATGCCCTAAGAAACAGAAAGGCTCCTCTGAGTTTCTCACTCCCTTTCTGTATGTATGAAACCCCTCATAGAGTTTTCCCTCGCAGCCTCTGATTCCCTAGCCACACAAGAAATCAAGAGACGAAAAAAGATTGAGCAATTGGAAACTCTATGTCTTAAGTCCCACTATCCTCATTCATTTTTCCCTTTTAACAAAGACATTTAACACAGGCAGGTAGATGCTATTCCTAAAATGTACTTAATGAATGTAGCCCATATTTCTCACCATGTAACTACTGCAGAAAATTCTTGTCACCAGGGAATCTTCCTGAGGTTGCAAAGCAAGGAAAAGTACTAGATCTTGACAGGATCCAGAGATATGGGTCCTGTTTTCTGGGGGTAACAACTGTTTTTATCCTTGTCTTACTCTTCATTACCCTTTCCAGCAGTTTGTGCTGGCTCTACAGTCTATAAAAGCTCTCTGAGAATAATCCCATGTCCTCCCTGTGTTCATGACTATAAAATCACTATTATATTTCCAGTAGAAACACCCTATATATCTCCTTTAGGGCCTGTCAGTCATACTCCCTCCGATCACTGTTAAAACTGTTGGAATGAGGTGACTCATCTTAGAGCTGACTCCTCCCTCCCTTTCAGAATATGAAGGCTTTAACCCAGCTTCCTCAAACCAGCACTAGGTGCAGTGTGATTTGAATCACAGAATCCAGAAAGATAGGCTGCTTTTCTCTGCTGTGCACCCGGTGAGGCCTGCTCTGCAGCATTTATCAGCAAGCAAGGGCTGGACTACAGCTTCAAGGATTCTTCTTTCAGTTGATTACTTAACTTCTGTTCTCACTCATATGCAGAAATGTTTGTAAAGTAGGAATGCCTCATACTTTACGCAGCTTTTCTCTCCTCTTTGTGAATTTAATTGCTATCAGCCTTCAAGAACTTGATCTTTTAAAAAAATTAAACAAGCCTGGCAGTGTGGCTCAGTGATTGAGCATTGACTCATGCACCAAGAGGTCGCCAGTTCAATTCCTGCTCAAGGCACATGCCCAGGTTGTGGGCCCAGTCCCCAGTGGGGGGCATTCAGGAGGTGGCCAATCAATGTTCTCTCTCATTGATGTTTATATCTCTCTCTCTCCTCCCTTTGTCTCTCTCTAAAATCAATTAAAAAATAAAACAAAAATTAAAAAACCTAAAAATTTACTTAGTTATCTTTCTTAAGGTGGAGAATGAATAAAGAGAAGAAATTTGAACCTGGAAATCCTTCATGTTTACTATAAATTTAGCATATGTTTCCAGAGAGAACGCTAGGTACCACAGGAGGAGTGTGAGTGAGCGTGTGCATGTTTAGATTATTGTTAGGGTATGGTAGTAAGAGGTGGTAGGGAATGGTAGATTGTCAGTATTACTTTTTAACCAGCCATATGTGAATGCTGAGCAGTATTTTTTTTTAATCCTCACCGAGGATATGTTTTTATGTTTTGTTCGTTTTTATTGATTTTAGAGAGAGAAAAAGGGAGGGAATAAGGGGGGGGGGGGAGAGAGAGAGAGAGAAACATTGATGTGAGAGAAACATCAATTAGTTGCCTACCATATATGTCCTAACTGGGGATGGAATCTGTAACCTAGGTATGTGCCTTGACCAGGAATCAAACCCGCAAACTTTTGGTGCCTAGGACCACATTCCAACCAATGGAGCCACCTGGCCAGGGTTGCTGAGCAATATTTTAATGTTGCTGAAAAATATGAATGATTCTAAGATCAGCACTAACAATTAGAGCACACTGCGGCTATAAAGAGCTTCAATATTCTTGGAGTGCCCTGAGCAAAAGCATCTAGTTCTGTTGGAAGCCCAGGTACATCAGATAGAAAAGGAGTCACTTTCTTTTTTTCCTGTTGGGAAACCCTCTCCTAGGCCAGAGTCTCTCTCCCTGCCCCCTGACTCTTGCAGATTGTGTTAGCAAAAATCTAACCCACCATGTTTGGCTGCCAGCCTTCCACATTCACACATCTATCAATGCACCACCAAAAGTCATCTTCGGACTCTCCTTTCCAGGCAAAGACAGGAAATCCTGAGAAAAAGGGACAAAGAGAAACCATTACAGCCTAAAATGGGGGGCTGACCCGAAATTCTGGCAAGAACATGCTGGTTTTCCTCAATTACAAACTCTCATTTTGTTGTACTCCTCAGATTTACTTTCTTCACTGATTAGTACTGTCTTTAGCTCCTTCATCTAAGCCTTTGTCTTTAGTGGCCATTTTGCTCTTGTTAGACCAAACAGGACACACAAAAGGGACAAGAGTACGATAGATGCTAAAAATATGACTAGAGGGAAAAAAAAGAAACTAGAAATAAGTACTTTTTGATCCAGTCCAACTGAAATTCTCACCATTTCCCAACTACACTTTGATCTTTCTTACTTCCACACTTTAGCTATCCCATCCTCCACAGGAAAACCCTTCCACTCTTCTCCATCTGTTTATTACACTTCACGGCTCAGTTTAGTGTCATGCTCCCAGTGAAGCCTGATTAGCTCAGCTGGAAATGATCTCTCATGGAATCTGAACTTTTACAAACTCCCTGTTTGAATGCTGAATTTGGATTTATGATCTGTCGTGGCATTTATCACCTATGCTCTTGCATTATCATTATCTATCAATGTGTCTTTTCTCCTCAAGAACAATATAAGATTCTGAGGGCAAAGACATGGTCTCATTTGTCCTTAATAGCTCTTATAGGAGGCATAATAAGTATTTGTTGGAAATAAAAAGACTGTGTATATACAACTCATTGACCTATATATTTCACATTTGTGTATTTTTCTATATACATATACATTTTATAAATGAATGAATAAATGAAAGAACAAATAAAATGCTAAAAGTGCTAGGAAAAGGAGAGACAGCTTTCCCAGCATTTCTCAAGAGCTCTGAAGCAGGGTTTGGTCCCCTGATGTGTTATGCTGCCAGGGAGTGAGGAGGAAAATCTGGCAAAGTCCAAGTTTCTCTATTTCTTTTGTCCTTCAAGTGTCAGTGGCTATTGTGATCAAATATTAATCTTCTGGGTCAAATCCTGTTTGCTGCTGAAGCAGAAACACCAAACATTAAATCAGGGCACATTGCTGAAAAACCAACAGGACCACAAAACTATGCCTGAAGCATTTTCTTTCCTAATCCATGAGTAGTGTCCACTGGCGCTCTAATTCCAGTTAGCAAGTCAAGGCAAAGCATTAACTAATAAAGGATTATTAGACTTAAGAAGATATTTGTGACTGTAAATATCTTCTATATGGAAGCAAAAAAGATCAAAGTATAGTTAGGAAATGGTGAGAATTCCAGTCACCAAGTAACTAGGTGACAAAGTCACGTAGATCATATTTAAAGAGAAGCCCAGAAAGAGAGCAAACTCATCAAAAGTAGGGATCCATTTCTACCAAGACAGCTCCTTTAATGTCCATGTTCCTTAAAGATTTATATTGAAATAATGGAACTTTTTGGAGACTTACTTTAGCCAAAGACACAGAGAACAAGCAAAGATCTTACCATTTTCTGCTAAAGCAGCAGCCACTTCATTGAGAGTGGAGTAGATGTTGCAGGCGGCCCATCGACATTGTGCCCCCAGAGCACCCAGAGTTTCCATAAGCACCTATATTAAAGAGAAAGCAGGAGATGAGCAAGCTGAGCCAAACAATTGGTCAAGGAGATTAAGTTTATATGTTTGACAACAAGAAAATACATCAGGGATAATACAGCAGAACACTATGCATTTACCCATTTAACATACTGAACCTCCCTGTAAGACGTAATTAAACCAAGAATTTCAGAGTCAAAACATTTTTTAAAAACCACCGATTTATAGTGCTGCTTATTCTTAGGATATAGAAAGCTACAAGAAAAGCTTGTACCCTAACAAGAAAAAGCCAAACAAAACCATAACTTTTCTTGAGCCCATCAGAGCTGAAGTCATAAAGCTACCCAGTGATGTGAACTCCATAGAGTGACAAATCCCTTTAAGGAGAGAGGGGACAGTTGTACCTTTGGCAGAGCACAGAGGAAGAGGTAGGTGGATTCCATACATGAGGATAAGAAAACAATGAGCTGTAATTGTAATGAATTAGTAAATGAGTGTGGGAAAGTGTCAATCTGGAATTTCTGGTTGCTCCAGGCATAAGGCGATTTCACACTCACATCAAGCTCTTTTCCAGGGGCTTCCACCCAGTACAGAGGCTTGCCTAAGACTGAGGCTGGATCAGAAGACCCAAGAACACTACTTGCGTTCACCATGAGCCTAGCTCCAGGAAACAAGTGCTGCAGGTGGTGCATGCACTTGAAGAGAGTTGTCCGCTTCCCGGCAAGGATGTGCAGAAGCAGTGGAAAGCTGAAGATGAAGCCCAAAGGTGGATAGGAGCCCTCTGCTAACCTCAAATCACAAGGCAGCAGCAGCCCATGCTGGAGAAATTTGCATCCATAATGCCGAACAACAGAACTGAAATCCAATCCATCTCAGGACAATAATGGAAACTAATACACTACTGTTCAATATAAAATTTTAAGGTACACAAAAAAGTGAAAAACAACAACAACAACAACAACCAATTATCAAGAAATAAAGTATTCAAGAGAATTAGACTCTGTGATAAGCTAGATGTCTGATCAGAGAGGAACTTTAAATGAACTCTAATCAATATGTTTATGTTAAGGGGTCTAGAGAAAAAGATGGACAATACCCATGAATAGACAGGAAATTTAGGCAGAGAGATGGAAATGATAAAAATAAACCAAACAGAAATGTCAGAAAAAAAATTTTTTTAAGGTATCAGAGATTAAGAATTCTTTCATCAAGTTTATCATCAGACTGGGCATTAACTGAGGACAGAATCAGTGAACTTAAAGACAGATCAACAGAAATCACCGAATTGAAATATAGAAAGAAAAGAGTGGATGGAGGAAAAATATCAGAAGAGAGCATCCAAGATCTATGGAATATTATCAAATGGTCTAAAACACATGTAATTGAAGCAACAGGAGAAGAAGAAAACAGGGCAAAAGAAATATATAAAGAGCCCTGGCCAATTTGGCTTAGCGGTTGGAGCATCGGCCTGTGGTCCAGAGAGGCCTGGGTTCGGTTCCCACTAAGGGCATGTGCCTCGGTTGCGGTTTCTCCCCGTCCCTGGTTGGTCTTGCGGGTGGCAAACACTCAATGTGTCCCTTTCACATTGATGTTTCTCTCTCTCTCTCCCTCCCTCTCTATCTGAACAAAAAAATGGAAAAAAATGTCCTTAGGTGAGGATTAAAAAAATATATATATATATTTTATTTATATATATATATATATAAAGAGTTCATGGGCAATTACTTTCTGAAATTAATGAAGGAGGATACAGGAATAATGACATCCCAAAAGCAAAGAGCACACTAGTGTACAGATCCACTAAAAACACCGGGTTCCTTATGGAAATGTTTGAATCCAGTACTAGAACAGGTGAACTTAATCATCTTGCACCAAAAGGAAGGAAGGAAGTGTTCAAGGAAAAAAAGGAATATGCCAAAAGACAAGCCGCAGAAGCCAGATTGAAGGGGCTCCCCCTTGGTCAAAATTGGAACAATTTGAGCATCATAATAATGATAGTAATGGATTATATAAATAATTAAAATAGGACATAATGATTCTATACAAATAAAATACACAAATGAGTGAATGAATTGAAAGTTTGATGAAACATTGGATATTTACACAGTTTCATATTACTATCTCATAAAATACTTATTAATTATAGAGGGGGAAAATAACTTTTACAATGGAAAAGTCTGCCAGACACCACCTCAATCAAGGGATCAAAACGAACACCAGTGGGACAAATCGAAATCATGTGTCACCTGATAAGATTAAATTTTTAAAATGCAGCGCCACTTCCCACCAGAGATGCAAAGCCTGAATCTAATAATGAGGAAGCATCAGTAAAGTCCAAATTGAGGACATTTTATAGAATAATTTGTAATCTTCAAAAGTGTCAAGGTCATGAAAGTCAAAGACTATAAACCAGTGGTTCTCAACCTGTGGGTCGCAACCCCTTTGGGGGTCGAATGACCCTTTCACAGGGATATCTTAAGACATAAGAGTAGCAAAATTACAGTTATGAAGTAGCAAGAAAAAGAATTTTATGGTTGGGGGTTACCACAACATGAGGAACCAGGGTTGCGGCATTAAGAAGGTTGAGAACCACTGCTATAGACGGTTCCGCATGAAGGGAGTCTAAAAAACCATGACAATTACATGAGACCCAGAACTATGAACTAAATTCCTGTTACAAAAAATATTATTGGCCGGTATGCCCAGCGGTTAGAGCATCGGTCCACTCCCCGGGTTCGGTTTCCGCTAAGGGCACGTACCTCGGTTGCAGTTTGTCCCTGTCCCCGGTTGGGGTTGTGCGGGTGGCAGCCACTCGGTGTGTCTCTCATATGATGTTTCTCTCCCTCCTGCTCTATCTGAAGATAAATGCAAAAATGTCCTCAGGTGAGGATAGGAAAAAAAAGTTTGTAATTAATATACTTTTACACTAAATAAAAATTCTAATTTAAAATATGCTCTTACAAACAACTCCATTAATGCAAGCTAATCCCCTCATTCTATTTGTCCAAGGCCACACAGTAAGTGAGCAGCAGCACTACTCATAGCTATAAATTTCTAGTCTATGCTACCTTTCCATGTCTGATTCCATTTTTTTCTCTCCTGTTTTATAATTCACCTTAAAGAATTTCTGAATTCTGCCCTGGCCGGTTTGGCTCAGCGGTTAGAGCGTCGGCCTGCGGTCCATAGAGACCCGGGTTCGGTTCCTGCTAAGGGCATGTACCTCGGTTGCAGTTTGTCCCCGGCCCTGATTGGGTCGTGTGGGTAGCAGCCACTCGATGTGTCCCTTTCACATCGATGTTTCTCTCTCTCTCTCTTCCTCCTGCTCTATCTGAACAAAAAATGAAAAAATGTCCTCGGGTGAGGATTAAAAAAAAAAAGAATTCCTACTACTAGGAATTCTGAATTTGTTGAACAAAAAGAATACAGAGATTTACCTACAAAGCAATATGAATTAACTATAAAAGTCACTGGGACCAAGAATATAAAAACTTGTTCAAAGAACTTTGGGTCAAGACTGCTGACTATTAGGGCTCAAGCAGGAGTAAAGGCAGGTAGGGGTGAGACAAGGACAGAGCTTAGAACCCAACTTTAAACCATTACCATTTAGAAGGAATAGCTAGGAAATCTCATTAGAAGGAGTTATGCCTAAAAATGTACATAGATTCAAGTCTTTTAGAAACATGGATAGGAAATAACTATAATAGTTATTTCTGAAACAGGGGATTATAGGAGACTTTGTCTTTCTACATTACAGATTTGTGGTAATGTTTCAATTACTGTAAAATGAACATGACTACTTTTGTATTTAAAAGAATAAAATGGCCCTGGCCGGTTTGGCTTAGTGGTTAAAGCTTGGGCCTGAGGCCCAGAGAGTCCCGGGTTTCGTTTCTGCTAAGGGCATGTACCTCAGTTTCAGTTCATCCCTAGTCCCTGTTGGGGTAATGTGTGTGACAACCACTCGATGTGTCTCTTTCACATCGATGTTTCTCTCTCTTCCCCCTCTCTCCCTCTTGCTCTATCTGAAGACAGATGCAAGAATGTTCTCGGGTGAGGATAAAAAAAAAAAGGAAGAATAAAATGGAGATTAAAAACAAAACAAAGCAAAATTCCTTTGTAATTAACTTTTTAAAGGAAAAAGAAAAAATGTGGGGAGGGTACATTAAAATAATGTTAAAAATTGGTAAACTAGTTTTGATTACTCTGATTCTGATTACTCCAGGAAAAAGTAGAAAGGAACCTTGAAAGGTGGTAATGTTCAGTGAGCTAGGAGGGGAAAAAAAAAAAGCTCGATATAATTTAGCAACATGAGACAGTACAGAAGCACTTACTATTTTAAGCCACCACACTGAAGTCTCATGTCCCTGCCTGGGGAAGCCCAAAAAAGGGTTCCAAGAGTGTTTCTGCCTCAATTCATTAGTCTATGGCTCCAAAAAGAGATAGCTTTTTAATTTGTTTAATTAATTTTGGAGACAGAACCTGACCAAATACTCTTTTCCTCAGAGAACACGTAACCCAGAAAAGTCTCAGAGGGAAGACGCTAACAGCAGCTGTCTGTGTCTTGAGGAATCTCTGCTGTTCTTAATAAAGAATGTGACCACATAAGTGTTGTGCTTCAGGAGACAATCTTTTGAAAGTTGATCTAGCCATAAAAATGACATGGATCTTACAAATCCTATAAACGATTCCAGAGCGTTTCCCAATACACCAATTTCCTGTAGGGGTATCATTATGGTGGGTAACTCAGTATCTACTACATCTTTGATAGTGGCTCTAAGTCAGTGGTTCTCAACAGAAGAACTTTGGAAAACTGTGGGGGCATTTTTGGTTATCGCAATAATTGGGAGGGGACAGCTACTGGCATTTGATAGGCAGGACCAGTTTAAAAGTGCAAGATGGTCTTTAGCAACAAGAAACCGTGCCACATCTGGTACAATTTTCAAATGTTCTAATGAAAAGTTCACATGAGTAAGAAACCTATTTATAATTATCTGAGTTTTCAACCTTATTCCACTTTACATATTAACAGGGAGTATTTTTGTAGTTTTAATACAAAATAATAATAGTTTTCCAAGAATGCAACAACTGCATAAATGAAGAAAAAACTCATACTTTTGTTATTATTCAGAAATTTACAAATAGTTGTTATAATTTCAAAAATCACCTAATTTGGCAATGCTATTCTGATGCTCTAGAACCAGTAACAGATTTTTATCTATCTACATTTGTAGCACTTTCATTCAAATAATGCTATAAGTACAAATGTCTGACTATTCTACTACACTTGTATCCAGGCATTTATATATTGAAATACACATTATTTTATTATAAATTATTTTCCTTTTATTCTTCCTTCATATTTCAGTTAAAATTTTATGTTTATATATATATATATATATATATATATATATATATATGTAGCTAGATTTAGTATATCTGAATTTCATTTCAAGCTAATACAGGGGCATTGCAAAATAGTTTTTCTAAAAGGGGGACACTGACTCAGATAGGGGTTAGACTCATTGGTCTAAACCAATCATGGTAATCCCAGTCCAGACTGGTGGGGTAGGGGCATGTGATCTAGTTCTGCTCAATGAGACGTGACAGAGGATCCTGGAGGACTTCTGGGAAAGGTTTCCTAGCTCTTGGGAGAGAAGGAGAAATGGTGCTTCTCCCCTTCATGAGTTTGTGATGGCTTAAAGAGCTGTAACCACCTTGCTATCAGCCTGAGGATGAATTCGATGTGCTGTCGAGGCAGCTCCAGGACAGTCACACTCAGATGAAACTGGAGCCCTGAGATCCTGCATCTGAAGTCTGCCTGACCCCTGGACTTCTAGCTTTGCAATGTAATAAATTCCTTGATGTATAAACCAGGTAGAATCAGGTTTCCTCTTATTTGCAGCTGAAAACAGCGGAGCACAGAGCTGCCTTGTAGCAATCACACGGGAGAAGAAGATAAGGGGAAGCCTTACATACTAATATGTAGTATAGTATAGTGGAGAAAGCACAAGTGTGGGAGTCAGATATATTGAAGTTCAAATCTTGATTCTGTGATTTACTAGCTGTATTACCTTGGACAAATTACTTAAACTCTCTGCGCCTCAATTCCTCATTTATAAATTGGAGCTAGGGGTACCTGCTTTACATGGCCATTATGAAGATTAATGAACTAATGCTTGTTAAGCTCTTAACCTAGTGCTTGGCAAGTTGCAAGCACTCAATAGTTTGGGGTATTATTAACTATTGTTGTGTGGAGAAAGAAAAAAGACTTACAGCAGTCTGAGCAGTGATGTGTGTGCAGCCCACGATTTTGGCTCCAGCCAAAGGTTTTTCTCCTTGTGCTCTCTTCCTCAGAGCCATCAGTGCTGGCATTTCTGAAATGGTCCAACACAAACACAGCAATATTAGAGAGAAGGGAACGAGAAAGAAAGAATCAAGAGAAAAAAGTATTCTCTTAAGATAAGATCCTTCCCCCAATGAAGTTCTCTGTTAGATTAGGTTCCTTAAGGGATCAAAACAATAAATCCAATTTTTCTTTCTTTAAAGATTTTTAGAGAGAGAAGAAGGGAGAGGGAGAAAGAGAAACATGGATCAGTTGTCTCCTACTGGAGATGGAGCCTGTAACCTGGGCATATACCCTAACCAGGAATTGAACTGGCAACCTTTTGGTGCACCAGATGATGCCCAACCAACCGAGCCATGCCGGCCAGGGCCTGACTATTCTTTACTAAGGGGCTTTCAGAGGCAAATACTCCAGTGTTCTGATTCCCTATATCCCAGTCCTCGTTATCTAGTATCTCTCCCTTTCTTTCCCTTTCCCTTGTAGAGGGGTTCCTTCTAGAACTGCCAGAGTTTATTCCCTCCCACAGTGCTTCTTAAACTCAGATTATTTTTTTGTAATATGTAATCTCCCATATCATAATTGCACAAGCTACTAGGCCGCAGGATGTGTGAAAGGTGATTAACATGGACAAAATGGCATAGGCAGCTCTAGAGGAAGAGGTAATGGCTTTCTTTACCTTGTTCAGCAATTTCAATTTCTCTTCTTCCAAACTCTGCCTGTTTGATGTTCTTGACACAGAAGTCACTGCTTCCCTTAGAGTTCTTTTGTTGCTTGTCCCTGGGAGATGCCTCATCGTCAGAGCTATCTGTATATGATGCCGCTGGAAGGACAGAATAAAAAACCCTCAGGTGGGAAACTGGCTTCCTTTAAAACTCCAAACCATGGAGGGAACTGAGGCTTCTCTGGTCATCCAGCACCATACACATTTACACATCTGGCAAGCACCTAAATGGCTCTGTGGAACTGTCCCAATCATCTCCTATGGAAAGTGTTACCCAGAGGTCAGAAAGAGGAAGCCGAGAGAGGTTGTCAAAGACATTCCCCCTGGATAGCATTAACTTGGAATCTAGGGCTGACTTTACCTTCAGAACATGCCAAGGTCCTTGAATACGCAAAAAGAGAGATATTATACCATGGTAGCAACAGGTTAAAGTTATAAATGCAGGATCACGGTCATGAAACTAGGGGTTTCTGGGACCCTAGCCACCTTCTCTGTCTGCTGTTTAAACGCCTGAAGTAATTTGTGTTTTAGTACAATAACTAAATAGATAAGACCTAGAAAACAAGGAATCCATGGGAAAGTAATTAAGAACCAAACAAAAAGTGTTTGTCTGACATAATAGAGCTTTCTTTTTTAAGATTGGCTCTGATGAGGCTGAACTATGCCTGCAGACCGAATTAGACATTGACAATGAAGCATTCAGTGTGCTCCCTTCTTGCTGGCCTTAGATTCCCAAAGAAGTGAAAAATCCTCTTTTGGTATAATAAAATGCTCTGATGACAAATCCATTTAGCAATATACAATAGAGGGTGAAAGGTATAAGACTTCTGATTGTGGCTAACAGGCAGCAGCTGCTGCTGCTGTTCCCACGTTTAGCTGAAGTCTTTTTAGTCTTCATTTAATTCTGTAGTTGTTGACTGTTTGCTGGATGATTTGAATCAATTTCCTTCCTTGATTTATGTTTGAGTTTCTGTGGACAGTTTCTTCCTAAGTCGTTGTCAAGGTTTTGGGGGAGGTGGGTTGGGGAACATAAAGCACTGTCTATAAAGCATTTTATATTTTCCAATGTGGAAGTACTTCCATCACTTTTAAAGGGAGAAACCTGTAAAATCTCAGAGCTCCTAAGGTCTCTAGTCCTCTGATCTACTTAAATCCAGAGAATTAAGACATTTCTGGGATTTCTTAGCCAAGGGTCTCTCTCAGGGAGAGCTGTAAAAGGCAAGTCTGCCCTTGCCCAGGTGATCAGGCATGGCACTACGAAATGTCTGGGCAGCAGGGGCCTCAGTATCTCCCTTGGAGCTGGAAAACAGCCCCAGAGCAAAGTCCTAACACGAGGCAACAAGAATGAACTTGGGTCACCAGGGGAGGTGAGGGAATTAATAAATCCCCAAAGAGACTTTTGTTCTTGAAAGAAGCTAATCTGTACAAAAAGTCTGTGGTTCTCCCTCCTAGGGTGAGTGAACGCTCAAAGTACCTTTGGCAACAGAGCCTAGAAACGGCTTCCTGGGCAGTCATCTGTTTCACTAATCAAGACTCAGAAAGAGCTTATGAGTTGGAGGCTGAGGGAACCATGCTTCTACCACCTGAGAGAAGAAAATAACAGTCATCCCTAATCCTGATCTAAATTTATATGATAACTGCCTTTGAAGTGTTTACATTTAGAACACCCAGAAATTTCAAACCCTTTTCCAGAGCCACGATGATTTTCATGTTCCCCAATGGCCATTTAAATATAATGGTTATGTGTTCTGAGAGTCAGACAGGCTTTGGTTGAAGTCTCAGTTTCTGTTTCTAGCTGAATAAAAAGGTGATACCAAAACCTCTTTAATAGGGTTGTTAATTCATTCGTGTGTTCAGTCATTCACACATTCAAATTCACACAAAAATTCAACAATTTTTTATGGTGCATCTGCTATGTACCAGGCACATTCTAAGTGCTGGGGAGACAGGACAGATATAGGCTGTCTTTACCTTCGTTGAGTTTTCAGTCTAGTTTGTGAGTCAGACATGAAATAACTAATTATAAAATTAGAGTTTTTCTTTCCTTATCATTGTAATATGTACTATGAAGCAGACTGTATGCCACGTTAAGATTAAATAAGATGATGTAAAGTGTTACACTTGCTGTAAAGCACTCAATAAATGATACCTGATGTTATTACTGGCTTTTGTATATATTTTAATTCAATACCAGACATAGCATCTTTAAGGGTTCTTACTGAGCTTTTGGATTTTGAATGGGAAAGGAATAACATACATACAATATTATTTAGCAGTTCCTTTTTTTTCTACCTTTGTCATTTACTAATCCACCCAAGCAGCAGGTGGTTGGTTGGCAGTGATTAAATAGGTTGAGACTGGAGTCCTAACTCAGTCCTAACTCAGAATAGTCCTAACTCAGAATAGCTCCCCTCTCCTATGCCTCTTTCAGCTTCTAAAGATGAGTCAGGGGGAGAAAACAAACAAACAACTATGACAAAACCCCTAAAATATCCCCTTAAGAGAAGCACTCCAATTATTTTCTTCCAACTCAAAGAAAAAAAATTATTTATACCACTTTCCTATTCTAAAAACAAAACGAACAAAAAAAACCCAACAGCCCCAAAACAGTATTTTATTTTCTCAACAGTAGTCAACTGGTTGTAGTTAGTTCAACCAATGTGTTTCTTTTTGGAGCCAAAATGAATTTGTTTACAAAGATCCCTTGATATAAACCTGTTATCAGGTAAGAACCAAAAATATCAGTTGTCTAGACTGTAAAACTATGTGAATGCAAAATGGTTGACAGACCTAGACCTAGAGTTATTTCTGCAAACACAGTAGAAAGATTTCTGAACTAGTGTGACATTTATTTTTTTAATCCATACTTATTTCTGCCATTAACAGTTGAGTTAGCATTAAACATTTTCCTGTGAAAATGTACAGAAATCCAACACATATGTATATACACACTTGGAAAGTTTCTTAAGTGTTTCTTCTTGTCAGCATACTCTGAAGCCCTGAGTAGTGATTTAATTAAAAATGAACGATCAATAACCAAGGTAATAACCTGTTGAAGTACAGGCTTGAGGCCTTAGCTCTTGCTTCGCCTCTAGTTAGTTAAGTGACTAGTTTTCAATTTATCCAACTGTAAAATAGGGAGTAGAACAGAGCCCCTCTCTCTCCCTTTTCTCTAACCAAAACCAGAAAAATCTTATGAATAAATGAGATAATACCAAAAAAAGTTTCAATTTCTAGGTAGAAAAGTAATATAAAGTACAATATAACATTACCACAAGATGTTGTCTTGTTTCATAATATCCCAGAATCAAAAAATAACCTGATGTCTCACTAATCCACAATCTGTCCCATAGAACATGCATACATATGTTCTATGGCTCATGCCTGATGAAGCCTTACCTCCTAGCAGCTGTGATATTGTGGGTTATTGCTATGAGAAGAAGCAGTCAGACTCCTGGTTGAATTAGTCCTATTAGACTATTTTAAGCCAGGCAATTCCTCTTGGGCCCAATCTATTCATTTGGTAATGGAAATAACAGTAGGGACCTGTGTGTCAATGTGCAGCAGATTTCAGTGATGAATAACACTCTAGAAACATGTGAAAAACTATGTTAGCAACCAAAATACAAGCAAACAAACAAAACTTTATTATTTGGAAAAATGTGAAAATACTTCAACCAATTATAATCTAAGAGACTTCAGTCTTCCTTCCTTATCCTCAACCAATTAACTCACTGCAAAGGCAACTTTTTCAGAAATATATATTACTGAGAATGATCTGACTTTAAAGAAAAGTTTTCTGTTCATTTGTTTTTATGAGGTTTTATGCTTAGGGAGTTTTTAGAAGTTTTTTTTTTATAAAATAATTTTAGGTATTAATGCAGCCTTTTACAACCTGGGTTCCACTAGCATTGAGCCCAATGCCTTGAAGCATCCATTGAATATATGAATTAACTTCTCTCCTATGCATCTCGAAGGGTACTAGTTACGATCCATCCTTCGAACAACTAAGAAAGACAGTCTCTCAAATCCTTTTCTGTGTTCTGTGATTCACATGAGGAACCCTGGTTGAGAAAGGCTGGCAGAACTTCCTAAATGAAAACATTTTGTAATGTCATAACCTTTTATTTGTGTACAGAGTATATCAGAGACCTCAACAGGAGTGTAAAGTGTAATAAAGTCTCTGGACACATTTCACCAATATTTACTTATTGAGCACCTCTTACGTTCCAGTTCTAAGTGCTAGAAATAGAGCAATACAAATCAGGCAGAAATCTCTGCTCTCATGGATCTCATGTTTAAGTCAGGGGAAAAAAAGACAACAATAAATTAGTAAAAATATGTTATATCATAAGTGCCATGGAGAAAACTTTGATAGGGAGTTTTGGGTGGGGTGTTTGTACAATTTTAAAAGAGTAACTAGGATCGGCTTCTTTTGAGAGGTGATCCTTGGTTAAGAACTGGAGGTAAGCCCAGCCAGTGTGGCTCAGTGGTTGAGCATTGACCTGTGGACCAATAGGTTGATGGTTCGATTCCTGGTCAGGGCATATGCCCATCAGGCTTGATCCCCAGCAGGGGGTGTAAAGGAGGCAACCAATCCATGTTGATGTTTCTCTCGCATCAATATTTCTATCTCTCTTCCTCTCGCTCTAAAATCAATAAAAACAGCCCGGCTGGTGTGGCTCAGTGTTTGAGCGTCAACCCATGTACCAAGAGGTCACTGGTTCGATTCCCAGTCAGGGCACATGCCCAAGTTGTGGGCCAAATCCCCAGTAGGAGGGCATGCTGGAGGCAACCAATCGATGCTCTCTCTCATCAATGTTTCTATCTCTCTCTCCCTCTCTGTTCCTCTCTCTAAAAATCAATAAAGAAAAGAAAACTAAAATAATAAAAACATATTTAAAAAAAGAAATGTAATGGGAGGCTGGATGGTATAGGCCTTATAGGTCAGTGTAAGAATTTTAGCCTTTACTCAGAGTGAGACTGGTAAGCCACGGGAGGGTTTTGAGCTGAAAAGTGATATTATCTGACTTATTTTAAAAGAATGAATCTTGCTGTAGTATTGTGAACAGACTGAAGAGCGCCAAGGTTCTAGAACTCAGAAGCTCAGCTTTTAAGACATGGGAGGTTTGAGATACCTATAAAACACCCAGGTGAAAGTACTGAGGAGACAGTTGAATATATAGATCTAGTGTTTAGGGAAGAGATTTGAGCTGGATATAAAATTTGAGAATCAAATGTCAACAGAAGGTGGTATTTAAAACTATGAGACTGAATGAGGTCACCTGGGGGGAGAGTATAACAGAGAAGGGAAGAGGTCCAAAGGTCAGTCTTTGGGGGCTCTGTAATATTAATTTCTTTAGTCACTTAAATTATAAGGTATACTGAAAATGGGTTCCCAGTTCTTAATGATATGCATTTGCATATCTTCTTGTATTTAGAAAGCTGTGAGTCAAATCCATTATTCCTGGCTTTTCATTCGATGGGTTTGGAGCTTTTTCTGTGTCACCTCATATAACTTCCCACTGCCTCTGTTATAAATTCACAGTCTGCAAGAGTTTTCCAGGATCACACTACAAATCATACATAGATCTAAGACTAGAAACTGGGTCTCTCCTAACTCTCAGTCCATGACTCAAGGCAGTAGGCATCTCCATTTAAAGTTTGTTTAAAAGGGCCTGACAATTGTTCATATGAAAAAATAAACAAAACCAAAAAACAAAATGAAGTAACAGTACGTGGAACACAGCTGCAAAAGAAGTGAACATAGTCTAGGGATTCACTTTAAAAGCACCGAGTTTATGGAAATAACACTTCCTATAGATTAGTTCACACCATATCTAGAATATTATTCATAGGCATAACCTGGAATATATCCAGATGAGGATAACCAGGACAGTGGGATGCCCCAAAATGGTGATTTTTATTTCTAAGTTAAATCTTTAAATTCCAGGAATTGTAATACCCAGGTTGTGAGTTGAGGCATGTGTGGGAGGGAACTAATTGATGTTTCTCTCTCTCTCTCTCCTTCCTCCTTCTCTAAAATCAATTAAAATAATAAAAATAACTTCCAGGAATTGTATAAGAGTTTATCAGGAGCTAAACAACTAGATAAAGTAAGGGTGACCCTATCATTTAAAATGTTCCCAAAGAGGCCAGATAGCCATTTGTCAGGAATGCCATCAAGGCAATTCCAGCATTTGGTGGGAAGCTGAAGAATTGATCTTAGATTATTTTCCAGAATGTTTTGACTCCAATGCTCTTGAGCTTAATATCCTTAAATGGATATATATGGTTGATCATTTTTTACTATAAAAATGACAATTTCACATAGTGCAACTTAGAAGGTCCAAGTTTTCCAGGGTGACACCAGTCAATGTCACTCACCAATGAGTTTTAAACCAAGTGCATCAATCATACTCTTCTAGGTAAACAGATATTTTGTAGGTACCCTCTATGCATATAGGGGTTCACTGGGAAGGCAGGTATTGTATTTTTCTCTGCAGGAACACAGTTGTAAATATAGATCTAGTATGTAGGAAAGAGACTGAGCTAGAGTTAAAATTTAGTATAGTTATTATTTAGTATCAATCTTTAAATAACATGCACAAACTCATGGTCTAAAACATTACACCCTATTTTACAATTCACATTTTCACAATTATTTAAACTTCCAGAGTTATAAATTAACTGGTTCATGAATTTTCAACACTGATTATGTCAGCAGAATAAGAAAGGTACCACATTTGGTATCTTTAGACAAAAATCCAAAGGAAATTATCTCATGTGCTTTACATCATTCTGTTATTGTGGGGAGAAAGTTAAAAGAGGAATGTAAACATGTAAATAACAATCTACCCAACCTAAAATTTACAGTTTCCTAAACAAGTTTTCTTCAAGTTTACGTAACAAATACTACATTCCTATTTGTGTAAAGAACAAATAAAACTTCAGGTTATGATGAAAACTTTCTAATAAATATTATTCCTTATAATATGAAGAGGCAACTCAGTTTCCTACCACATTCCAACACAGGAGCAAAATAAAACAGCTCCATATTAGATCAGACACATGCTGGGCACTGTTGCACAAATGGCCGATGCCTTCAAGGGGTTTTACGTGGTAATAGCTCATCTGGCATTAAATGATAACAGTCCCAGGAACCATATATTTGAATTAATGCCACTGCAAAGAAAGAAAGGAGTAGCCCTGGCCAGTTTGGCTCAGCAGTTAGAGCATCGGCCCACGGACCAGGGAGACCCAGGTTTGGTTCCCACTAAGGGCATGTACCTCAGTTGCAGTTTATACCCAGACCCAGTTGGGGTTGTGTGGGTGGCAACCAGTTGATGTGTCTCTCTCACATGGATATTTCTCTCTCTCTCTCTTCTTCCTTCTCTCCCTCCTGCTCCATCTGAAGATGAATGCAAAAATGTCTTCAGGTGAGGATTAAAAAAAAAAAAGAAAAGAAAAGAAAAAAAGAATGGAGTAATAAGCAATACCATGTCACAGCTGAGAAGAAAATGCAAAGAGCTCACTTGAACTAGACAAGTTTTCATGTTTCTTGGGGCAATTAAGGTTTCCCTGTTAACTTGCAAGTAGTAGATGGAAGGATAGGGAACCCCTCTTCTATTTTCAAAGAATGGAAAAAACAAGTCTTTACACATGTTCAGTAAAGGTCATTAGTGAGCAACATACTCCCTCCCTCCCACCCTCTGAATAAATCAGAACTCAATTTTCTCAATCACCTTCTTCTACCTTTACAGGAAGAGAAAGTCTATTAAGCTCCACTCTAAATCCCCAAGAGAAATCCAAACACTCCACTTAGAATTTTGGTCTAAATTTCAACTGAGAGGTTTATTCCAAAGCACAGGCTTGACCATGCTTAATTAGCCTTGGGTAGACAGGAGGGTCCACTGGAAATGCATCCACAGGTGGGTCCACAGCAGTTCAGTCCTCACCTGAGCTGTAGCTGTCAGTAGATGACTGAGAAATGGAACGAGACAGAGAGCGACGTCCAATTTTGGTGGAACGTTTGTTGAATTCTTGCTTCTGGTCGGCAAACTGGATCTGCTAAGAAAAAGAACTCTAGTTATTATAAAGGAAAAGAATCTCCATTTTGAGACAGCAATTCAAGGCAGTAGATTGTATGAACCCATCTTTAGAATGTTAGACTCTGGAGAGAAGAATGATTTTCCATTCTTCACTCACTATATTTCCATCAAAATTAAATATTTGATCCACTCTCGGCTTTATACTTTTTACAATAAAATTGTGACCCCCAAAAAGGAGAATGGGATGTTCTGGTTAAAATAAATTTTTTGAAAGTTGAGTCATATTCAGAAATCCTTTCTATAGTTTCACTGAAAACTAAAGCTGGAAAGACTCTTTGAGACTATCCCAATTTTCACATATCTAGATGAGAAACTGCAAGGTACAGAAAGATAAAGTGACTTGCCTTCAAGATTTTAAAATTCTCAGGAAATGGTCTAGTATAATGAAAAAAACATACAAGTACAGTAAACATTAATTTATTATTTTTAATATTTGGCACAGGCTTTCCATTCAGACAGAACTTTCCTGGAACTGCATTCAAATCCTGGCTATGCTTCTCATTAGCTATGTACTGTTGGCCAGATGCTTCTATGAGCCTCATTTTCTCATAAATACAGCAAAGATAAAAATACTTCACAAGTCCTGGCCGATTTTGGTCAGTGGTTAGAGCATCGGCCTGCAGATCAGAGTCCCGGGTTTGATCCCGGCCAAGGTCGTGCACCTCTGTTGCTGTTCGTCTCTGGCCCTCGGTTGGGGTCATGCAGGAGGCAATCGAAGTGTCTCTCTCAAATCAATGTTTTTCTCTCTCTCTTTCTATTCCTCTCTCCCTCCTTCCCGCTCTATCTGAAGATAAATGGAAAAATATCCTCAGGTGAGGATTTAAAAAAAAAACAACCTCACAAGATTTGGAGAGGGTTAAATGAAACAATGTATGGGAATATTTTGTTTTATTGCACTTCACAGATGTTGCATTTTTTGGTTGTTTTTACAAATTGAAGGCAAGACTCTCCACCAGCAAAAAGATTGTAACTCTATTGCCGTGGTCTGGAAACCAAACTTCACTATCTCTGAGGTATGCCTGTATGTAAACAGTGAAACATAGCAGGAGAGTCAATAAATCCACTCCCCAACTCCAGCCCCTGCAGTTCCCTGTTACAGCTCTTACAGGTAGTCACTATAGTTTTTAAAGATGTATTAATTAGCTTTTTAGTACTAGCAAGTACAGTAAACATTAATTTATTATTTTTTGTTTGGTATCATAAAATACCTAAAAGCCACAAGACTGATCATTTATTTTTTAAAAAATTTATTTATTTTTGTTACAGATGTTTCTCCTTTTCCCCCCACTGATTCCCCCCTTCCCCCTCCCTCCCGCCCTGTCACCAGCTTTGTTGTCCATGTCCATTGTTCATGCATATATGCATCTAAGTTCTGTGGTTTAAGACTGATCATTTATTAAGTGTAATATAAAAGATATAGAAGTGAGTGAGTGTACTGAATATGTATAAACCCCAATATTCGAGATTGCATTTTGGACAATATCTGATGACTTTCTGGAATTTTTATCTCTTTCTCCTACTGTTGGAAGTTCCAACTGCTACTTTTGTTTGTTTTTTTTTTTTTTTTTTTTTTATCCTCATCCGAGGACAGTTTTCCATTTTTTGAACAGACAGAGTGGGAGGGAGAGAGAGGAAGAGAGAGAGAGGGAAACATCGATGTGAAAGGGACACATCGAGTGGCTGCCACCCGCACGACCAACCAGGGCCGGGGACAAACTGCAACCGAGGCACATGCCCTTAGCGGGAACCGAACCCGGGTCTCTCCGGACCGCAGGCGGACGCTCTAACCGCTGAGCCAAACCGGCCAGGGCCCAACTGCTACTTTTGAACACTTGACCAATCACAGCTCATATTATTTCAACAACTTTTTCTTCTTCTTCCCTAATTGAAAGTTTGCATAATTGGTTAGATTATTCTGGATCCACGGTGTCAAGAAGCATCAAAGACCTGACAACGGATTCTCCCTTTCCTAATAAAAAGAGGGCAGAAGACAAATGAGAGCAGCAACTGACACTCCATTACCTGCAGGTAGAGGTAGTTACTGAGTCATCTGAGTATTGAGATAAAGGGGCTAATGCCAAATTGAATTAGGTTAGCATGCCTTTTAGGGGAATTCATAGCATTTTCATAGCTGTAACAACAAATAAAGCCTGTGTAATACTTAAGAGTTTGTAAATTATTTTCAGCAATAAGAAAATTCACTGGATTAGAAGCTCTTTGCAAAATAAAAACTGGCAAAACTGATTATTTTGCTAAAGTAGCAATATATTCCAAAAAGATAAAGTGCCCTTTCTGTGCACTCCCACGGGATATATATGAACTTCCACATACATTTCCTATCACAGAACTTACCACACCGAATATAACTATCTACCTGTATCCTGTATTGGCTATGGGCTCCATAAAGGCAGGAGCCGTGTATCTTATTCACCCCTATATTCTCAGACACAAATGCCTGACAAATGGTAAAAAGTCATGTGCAGAAATGAATCTGAAGTAGCCTATTCTATCCTCACTGTCTGTACGTGGCTGAATATTAAGTAAACATAGTAAGCATAAGCCAAGCCTAAAGTTAAAAGAAGTTTTAAAGGCAAAAAGAAAAGTTGGGAAGGGGAAGAAGGTGGGTGTGAAGACGGGGATGGAGATAGCAGTGAAGCTAAAAACTCAGGCTTCCATTTCACCAACCTTATCTAAAACAATGACACGTCTTTATTCTTTTATAGAGACTCATCTGGGAAAAGGAGTAATAATTGACTTTCCAAAGGTCACAGTGAGTCATTAACTTTAGCAATACCTCCTTAAAAAAAAAAGTAACAGAACACTCTGCCTGAGGTATGTGAACACCCCCCTCCCACCCACACACCACTAGAGGGGGCCAGTCACTCTACTTCTCTAGGATCAGGGGTGGGTGGGTACACATATATTTACCCCAATAACACTAACCAGGTAGCTATCTACCTGCATCATCATCTCAAACCAGTTTCCCTAAACTGAGCTCTCTTCTCTATTGTCTTCATCATTTATAGTTATCCCTTCCACTCAGGTCAAGTTTAGGCTGTCTTTTGGCATGAAAGAAGACTATGTAGGTTTTCTTCACCAGAGACATAAGGTTCTAAATTTTGTTTACTTGTTAGACACTGAATGCAAGGTTCTAAATTTTGTTTACTTGTTAGACACTGAATGCAAGTTTCTTTAGGGCAGCAGAATATTATACAGAGACTAACCACTTATATAGAATGTTATAACATTTTCCAGAAAAATTAATGTTTATCTTTTACTGACAACCAGAACACATTTTAAGTAGGTCATCCCTGGTGCCCACCTGCCCTAATAGTTTAAAGCTATATGCATTCCTCACTCAACAAAGTTACCCGGCTGGGGTATCTCGGCAGATTCCACTCCTAACTTTCCTACACGTCTGAAATCAAAGAGTCCTTTAAGGTACCCCTCCCCCTTTTTCATTTCAGAGAGAACTGCCTAATTTCAACAGGCATCAAGGCAAGGGAGAGAACGAGACTGTTAGGAGAGGGGAGCTCACCTTATGCCAGAAGGAGGGATGAAAACAGGAAAGGAGGAGAAAAGCGCTGGCCTTTCACATTAATGGCTATCACAGCAGCAAGACTGGTAAATAAGATCTTAGCCTCACCTGGGCTTTAATCCCAGAGTTGCCATTGACAATGTATTTCTTCTTGTTGCTCAGCATAGTGACATTACCAGCCCTACTGCCACCTCTCCGGTGCAGGGACCCTTGTGGCTAGGCCTTTAAACTTTCTGCATCAGCAATTCTGTTGGCTCTGGTTCCAGCTAGCTTTTCTTTTTTTTTTTTTTTTTTGGTTGGGGGTGGGGTGGGGTGCTACCCTTCCCTGGAATCCCCGAAGTTGCTCCAGCAGTTGAACCCAATTTAATAAGGCATTTCTGTTAGTGGCTCATCAGCCATTTTTAATTCTGGTGGCTGTTTTGCTTTTATTTTATTTTTTTCCTGAACACCTAATTACATGGATCCTCTAACCTCGAAACCTTAACAAGTCCCTTGACAAGGCCCAACTTGCAGGCGCATAAACAATAGCATATTTATATAACCAGGGCACTTTTTTGCCTGCTATAATTACCTTGCTAATTAGGTTCTTTTAACCTTACCTCCTCCTCTTCTATGTCAGATGATTTTAGTTAACCTAGTCTTATTAGAAAAAAATTAATTACAAAGGCGCTAAAACAATGAGGGAATTTATTAAGATGGTAAGAAAAAAAATGGTGCCAAGTGCTCAGGCAGCCCTTACCCTGCACTCCGAGTCCTTGGGTCAGTCAGACTGGGAATTGGTGCTGGACTCAACTGTGCATCTTTTATACAGGTTTTGACATCTGACCTAGTTTCATCTCAAGATTGTTGCTGTTGAGTGACTATGTTGGTTTTTTCAAAAACTATGTTTTGTGGAAGGATTGACTACAAATGGGAGTTTTCTGTTACCTCTGAGTCCCCAGAATCACAATGACCTTGTCACATATTATATCAAATAGAGTCAAATAAAAGGACAAAGAATCATCATTTATTTGTTGATTTCTTAAAGGGGGACAGTGAATAGGAACTCTGTATTCAACTGTATGTTATAGAGACAGGGTGGGAATGTGATTTGAATTCTTCTTTAAAAAAAAAAAGGAGAGCCTGGCTGGTGTGGCTCAGTGGTTGAGCCTCAACCCAGGCATGCACCAAGAGGTCGCTGGTTCAATTCCTGGTCAGGGCACATGCCCAGGTTGTGGGCCCAATCCCCAGTGGGAAGCATGCAAGAGGAGGCCAATCAATGTTCTCTCTCATCAATGTTTCTATCTCTCTCTCCCTCTCCCTTCCTCTCTCTCTAAAATCAATGAAGAAAAAAAAGTTTTTTAAAAAAGGAGATTGCTTATTGAGCAGAAGAAAGAACATAAAATGGTAGATTCCTTTTTTAGAATAATCTTTGAGAGAAA